AGACGGTAGGGGAAACGGACCGTTCATCACCTTAATGGAAGAGTATTGATTGTGGTGGAGGAGCACGATACCCCTCTGCAATAGTAATGGACTCCTGAAATCACACATGTATGGGCATCAATGGGGGGGTCCAGAAAGAAAGAAAATACCTATTCCCTGATTGTTAGCACCTTGTTATCTGTTTGGATGGGCCTGTCAGTGTTTTATACAACTTTTTTTTTTAATCTAAAACGCGTAGATGACAAATTTCTGAAAGGATCCATTCACAAAGCTGTGACATGAACTTTTTAAAAGATTTTAATAGACCTCTTTTGATATCAGTGTGGTACTTTCACATTTTTAGACGTTGCAGTAATCATACTGACTCAGTGGAGGTGAGTGGAATATTAGCCGTCATGCTCATAGCACAGTCTTGTTGTATTATGTTTATTCACAATCCAAGAGGCGTTACCTTTAACTGGAAGAGACCACCAGCAGAACCAGACTCGGGGAAGTGATTTTGGGTTATTTAACTTGGCATTTTTATATGGCTTTTTGGATTGGAGAACATAACAGTGCAAAGCTTGCAATGAGAAAAATTAGGAAACACACCTCATGAGATATGCACCTTAAAATGTTCAAAATGTTTAGGGGTTAGAATCTGCTTCACCAGAGAATATCGCATGTCATTCTGCCTCCTTATTCCAAAACAAGCACCACCCGATGTTGCAGCAAAGCTTGAGACCTACAATGCAACCCCACTTTTAAGCCCTACTCAACACCCATTATCTCAGTACAAAAATCAATTATTCATTCATTTTTCCACACGGACTTTATCCCTTCAGGGTTAAAAGGGTCTGGAGTGTATCACAGCTGTCGCCAGGTAATTGTTTAGGTCAGGTAAGGCTAACGGTCCATCACAGTGCCACAAAAAAAACGGCCATGCAAATAAGTATAATTGTTTTGTATCCTGTTGCATGGCAAACTCACAGATCTGTAGTAGTGTGTTACAAACTAAACCCAGCCTGAGTAAAAGATTTGGCAAAATTGTGATGCTAATTTTGAATTTTTTATCCACCTTTCAAAATCTCTTGAATGTGATGATCATCGATCAGTGGCTGTCTTTCTTTGTATTCTTCCATTGGGATTCTGTTGATATTTCACCTTACTTTATCTGGTTATGAATCCCTTTCCTTTAGATGGTCAGTTCGGTTGCAAACACTGAGTTCATTTTCTGTCCATGTGTCCCCCAACATCTCAGAGTGTGTGTGTGTGTGTGTGTGTGTGTCACTGTTGCAGGGCCAAATAACACAATTCTGTGGTCGCCTCGATTCGTCTGCTTTTAACAATTTAACAGCTCAGGGATTAGTGGAACAAATGTCTGCCTGTCGCATTAAAGCTGTTGTTTTGCTGACCGTTTGTAAAGCCTTCGTGTCCAGCATGTTTTCCACTGAAAGATCATCTCATTACGCAGCGTGCACGTGTGGGTGGGAGTGTTTTGCATTAAATCACTATCTCCCCGGCATCTGCCCGCGCATGTTATTGATTCTAACCCATGTAGACCAAATCCCAAACAAATAAGGTGATTTACTCACCTGGATATTTTCACTCGTCCCCAGCATTTATATGGAAATTGTGCTCATTTATTTTGCGCCGTAAAATATGCAAATGGTTACTGCCGTGTTGGTAATTTGGTTTGGTCTCTATTGCTTCATCTATATCTGTCTGTCTGACTGCGAGTTAACTCCTCAAAGTTTATCTTTTCCTGCCCTTTTGAAGATTGCTTGAACATGCCAATTTTAGTAACAAAGGGATCAATTTGAATGATGTTTCTCCCAGAGACAAACAGCCTTTGCTTCTGTTTAAACTCGTCTGTCAAATCAAAGTCTCATAAGCTGAGAGAAAATAGTTTTTTTTTCCCTTTTCAATTTTTTCTGGACTGTAAAGGAACAAAATGGCAACAAAGAGGCGGCATTTAAAAAATCACAGGTGGCGACGCGCCTGTGGAACGGATGGACCCAGCGTGGTATTTTTGAATTAGAAGTGTTTTCATTTACAAGGCAAGTTGAGAGGGAGAACACTCCTAATGACAGCCAAATCCCTATGGAAGTATCTGCAAAGGGATGAAGGTTTTTTTTTATCTAAACACATTCACAAAGGTGCACATTCTCTCTCTCTCTCTCTCTCTCACTCCCTCAAACAAACACACACACCTGGAAGCGTTCCAAAGATCTCTGGTGTTCTACAGTCAGTCTCAGAGCAGCACTAATGGAACTGGGACAAGTTCAAGTGCACTTAGATAGTTGGGCAGTGGTGTGTGTGTGTGTTTGTGATGGAGGTATTTTATCTGCAGATGTGGACCGTCAGATTGTCAGTTATGGCATTAGGAGCCAAACTGTTTAACTCTGAGGCTGTTTAATAGGGCACTTTTGGTTTGTAAGGTTGGAAAAAACAACTTGTTAACAAAGTTTATAGACCAGTTAATGTGCAAGTAAAAACTTAATTGGACTCTGCAGCATACTAATTACCCATGCATTACGATCTAACATTTGTTGCTTCTCCTGCGAGCCAAAAAGGGCGAGATGAGAGCAGGGAACTGTGAGGAAAGACGGTGAAAATACGCTGTTCTCTTCCAGACATTTGAGTGTGATATTAATTATACTGATGTGGGTCGAAATTAGGGATGGGACGGTTTCTGAAAACCGTCTGAACCGTTCGGTTCGACTGTCTCGGTTCGGTTCGCGTGTGTACCGCACGGTTCATGCACTGCTCCTTTTTCTCAGAGGGAAGCGTTTACACTCCAGAGCAGAAGGGGGCGCTACTGCACCCAAAGCCAACCAGCAGTAGGAAACAAGAAGAAGAAGAAGCAGCGTAGTCGATAAAAAATCAGACCGCCAGCAGCAGTTTCTAGGTCTGCTGTATGGACCACTTTGCATTTAGAGGGAAGCACATGTTGGAATTAGCACTGTTTCCTCTCTTGCAATGCCAGAATCTTACCTACGTTTAACCTAAGACTGTCACAATAATGTGTCAAATGTCAGACTGCTTTTTTCTTTCAGTTTTAACTAGGGATGGGGATCGAAACCCGGTTCTATCAAGGACCCGGTTCCACTTTTTTCAAAACCCGAAAATCAATAACGTTTGGGCTTATCGATACCTCTATCGAGTCTGGTCGTTTTTTTTATTATTACAATAGTAATTGTGAAATCTGTGTTGTAATCGGCAGCATACAAGCTAGTTAGCTTGAAAAGTAAATAAAGTTTCAGACGTGCTGCGTGATGATGTGTTCAGATTGGCTCAGTAAAACGACAATTAGGTTATCATGATGCGTTTAAGTGTAACGTAAAGAAAAGGGATATTTAGTTTTTGGCGAGAAACATGAGTAATACAGTTGTATATTGCTCTAATTACTTTAGAATATATATTTAAACTACCGATGCCAACATTTATTAAAAATTACATTTAATTTAAAATACAATTATTTATTTGTTAAATATTGTCACATCGTCTTTCCACCAAATAACAGAAAATTATCGATAGTGGTATCGATAAAGACTCGGATCGATAAGGAGTATCGATAAAAGTATCGATATCAATAAATATTAACGATCCCCATCCCTAGTTTTAACCTGACTATACAAGACATAATAGATTTTCCTAACAATCAACACATACCGAACCGAACCGAAAACCGTGACCACGAAACCGTGAAACGAACCGAACCGTGGATTTTGTGAACCGTCCCACCCCTAGTCGAAATAGGTGCTGGCCCAGAGGGGTTTGGGAAGAGATCATTAAAACCAGCACACAGATACACACAGCCACACGCACAGCCTCTCAATGGCACACAATTAGACACAAACTAATGTTCCTGCTCAGACACCATGCTCTCACACATGCAGCTATACACTGTGTGCACGCACGCACGCTCTCTCACACACACACACACACACACATACAAAGACAGCTGTTAATCAAGCTGAGCTAAATGTGGGTCAGTGTGGTTTTAACTGCTGTGGTGTGTGATTAGTGATTACCCATCATCAAAGAGGACATGCACATAGAAAGGAGTGCACACATCCCTCCTGTGATCCTAATCCCACCCTCGCTAGTAGACATTAGCGGCTCTAAAGGGGTGTGTGTGTGCATGTATATACATATATATGTGTGTGTGTATCTATGTGTGCGTGTTTCATTGTCTACAAAGGCCACTACCGTCAGCATGTTTCGTGTTTTGTTGGGATGCAACATGTGATTCAAATTGGTGCTCATTCTCACCTACTTGTTCTGCTGTTTTTCAAAGTGAATCACAGGTGGAAGATGGTGACTGTTTTGAAAAATCTGTGCTGCTATGAACTGTGGGAAAGAATGATCTTTTTCCTTAAACTTTATTAAGGAACCACTTGAGCTTTTCTCTTCAACATGTAAATGTAATTGATTGGATACTAAAGCTTTCCTCATTTAGGAACAGTTCTTTTTAAATTTGGGCTCTAGTTCAGCCAATTACATTCAGGTGCCACAGAGTAAGTTTACCCTGAAAAATTCCATCTGCACATTCCAAATGTCACATGATCTCGTGATCTCAGGATACTCTGATCAATTTTCCCTTTCGGACTCTGACAGCTGAAGTAACCCTCTTCATCTTGCTATAATAGAATTTTCTACTGGGAAAAAAAATCTGTATCCTGGAATTCAATTGGACTCTCCTAATGTTAATGGACTGCATTCATACAAAGCTCTGTTGATTTGAAACTCATACAGACGCATTTATACATGCATATATATGTTTGCCCGGTTAAGTGAGTCTCTTTAGGTGTTGTCTTAATCTGCTCAGTATTTTTGTGACAGGGCACAAACTGGGACCCCGACTCCTTGTCTGACAGCTTATACACAGTTTACCAAGGCATTTAGATACAATCAGCAATAAATGTCCCAGTATTAAATGAAAAAGAGAAAGCCACCTCTGGCCGGGACTCGGTGGCCTTGCTGTGGGCCGTTGGGTTTTTCCAGGATATTGAAAGGTTGCAGTTCAGCTTGAATTCATTTGCCCTTGGCCTGCCAGAAATGACACTTTTCCGGCCAAGTCTTTCCACGGGTTTCCACTCTTATTTCTTGCACCCCGTCACAGCCGGCACCATAACTCCACGCGTCTGTCTTTCAGCTTCAGAGCACGGAGGATCGCGTTTGGCATGCCCCCAGCCTCTCATAATAAAAAAGACAGGGCAGCTGTCCATGGTGCTGAAATCACTCTCTCCACAGGCAACGTGTTGTTCCACCGTGAAGTGACATCCCATCTATTCAGCTCAAAGTGGACTGTGACGGTGGCTTTGAGGAGGCGAGGAGACCTCTCGGCTAATGTTTTCCAAATGAAGAGACGAAATTAAGGTGTACAAAGACCCCCCCCCCCTCCCACTCCTCACCCGCTTTTCTCTCGCACACTGAGTGGAAGAGAGAAAGTGGAAAGGGGGAGGGAATCCAATGAAGCGGGGATAATTACAAGAGTGGGTCACTATTGGTGGATGGCATCCAACGGAGGCAGAGAAAAAAGGGGGAAACGAATCAAAGCCGCATAACAATATCAGAGTCGAGCATCATCCGTTCAGCCTTTCCGCGCAGAGTCCAGAACCGGGACCGGCTCAGCCTGCGGACTCTGAGCCCCTCTGTCTGGATCTGGATCCGGGGACGACAGGAGAACCTTCCCTCGGTGATCTGAAGTGGGGCTCGTCATCCTTAATCGTTGCTGTTGTCCTTTGGAGCAAGTGTGGGGGGACCGCTGCGGAGATCAAGTTCGCGCACGCCCGGAAAGCAGGTACGTGGTGGTTGTGGAAACGCGGGGGAACGCGTGCGCTCCGGATGGTTTCTCAAACAAAAACCCGAGACCCCGTTTGACAGCTGATAAGGCTTAATCCCACAATGCTGGAGGGGGATGTTTATTGTTTGATGTATTTTGAAGCGTTAAAACTGAGCTGCGGGCACTTTAGGAGAGAGGACTGAAACAAAGGGATGAGTTCTTTTTGTCACTGGAACAGTCCAAGTTGAAGTGAAATGAAAGACCACATTTTTTATTTAGACTGTCATACTACAGTGGAAACCAGGTGGACACCTTTGTTTTCTTTTGTCTGGTAAGAAAATTATATATCAATGCTCATGTGACTATTTTTGTCAACAAGAAGACTAAATACTGCAATAGCAGTCCTACGTCACAGTGATCCAACTGTCTGGTAAACAATTGGGAAATTTCAAAAGAATGACATTAAATAGATTTTAGTTGCACCTAATTACAAGTGAGGTCAACTATTATCTTTCAGTATACCTGCACAGATCTCTTAGCGAAGTCCACTTGTCTGTAATGGGATGTCATAATGGATGTAAATGGATAAACAAGAGGTTTAAGTAAGCTTTTAGACAGAGCAGGGTTGTTTTTCTTCATAACTTGTGCTGATACGCCTAATAAATGAGCCTCCAGTTGTATTTATTTGACTGTTTAAAACATTTATTGAGCACAACAGAAGAAGCCTATCAGAATAGGTTTTAAAATGGCTTCAGTGAACATGATCACCATCAGTGATCAGCAGCAGGGCTATTTTCTAAGACTGCACCAGGCTTGGCAAAGTTTACCCAATATATTGACCACGGGGACGGCCACTTGGCCTCACTTTCGTGATGTCTTGCAAAAGGTATTTCCTGCTTCTCCCTTAAAGGCATGAATCACAGGTTATTTATGTTCTTTGTTTTTTTTTTGCTAAGCAAGCAGGGCCACTCAGAACTTTAGTTTCGAGCCATCACGCTGCAGCACTGAAATGCTCCAACTGCTACCTCCATGTCTGGGAGACATTTCAGTCACAGATTAAACATATTTCACAACAAAGCTGTTGGGTAACCAAACAAAGCTCACATGGAATATGAAAGTGATACTGTTGTCATGGAGAAAATCATGTGTGACAGGATTTACACTGGGCACAGCACACACCCCGTAGGAATCTGCCAGCAATATCACAGTGACACTACAGTTGCCAGGAGCGATGTGCTATGATTAGGTAAGCACAAGCTCAGTAGTAAATATTATGTCCTTTCAGGAAGACCACCATATCTCCGGGCTTGCTGTTTCTTCCTTAATGTCACAGTTGTAGTGTGCGTACCGCTGGTTAATTGCTATTCAGCAGAGGAATGAGTGTGGAGCCAAGCAGCGGGCCAATAGATAGGAGCTCGTTTGTTTAACTCGGAGGGTGGGGAATCTGTCTTGCATTGACAGATCCACTTGGACAGGTTGAATTTCTTAGGCCTGTGGCGATTTTTAATTTTTCATTGGCTACTGTCAGCCAGACAATCATGGCTGGATTCCCCCCATAAGCTGTAATTGTATTGCGGCCTCAATTCTTGTCCGACTCTGAGGAGATGGCAAAGATCACAAATGAGAAATGGATGAGAAGAAGTAGAAAAAACGGATTCTTTCTCAGCCTCATTATTTGTTGTTTACATGAGCCTGCACAGATATCCACAATGCAGACCTCATGCATGAGGGTAATTTGACATCTGTCTGACATGTACTGACTCTAAGTGATAGAAGCTGTCACCAGATACAGATAATTTATGAGGATTCAGTGAGTCTTACTACAGACCTCACTGCTCACCCAGTGCCACAGAAATTCTATGGAGTGGAATGATAATCACTTTGATCATTGTTTGAGTAATATCCTCACGTTCCGCTGAACTACCATGAAAAAAAAGTATACAAGCAACATTTACATTCAGAGTCCGGAACATCAGGAGTAAAACATGGCTGGAAATATAGAAATCCAAAGCTTAAATGAAAGGTGTGGATTGAAAAAAACATGAACATGAATACTTTTTCATGTAAAATTGAAGGGTGCTTCTGAGTGAAGGAGTATGTTCCTCCTTGGCCAACCAGTCTGATCTCATTCATCCCTTATAATGTGAAACGTGATTGATGGATATGTGTGTGTGTGTGTGTGTGACAGGGTTATGTAGGGATGGGCAAAAACAAATAAAAAAAAATAGAGAAAAACAAAACCTAAAAATCAAACCACCCGGTTTGATCAGACATAATCCACTCCGGCCCCGTGCTGTGAGCCCTCCGTGAATGAAATTGCGCTGATCGATTGCATCAACCAACCTTGACTTGTTCGAACGACGGTGTGCGGGAAACAGAGGCTGGAGAAAATTGGCATTTGAAAAGGGGGGGACACAAGAGATTACAAGGTAACACCGGAGAAAGTGTCAGACAAGTGGTATTGACTGGGAAGAGTAATAAATGCTGACAGTTCTATATACAAAGGTGACATGGTTATGAAAATGCTGTCAGTTTTTTCGCCACAGATTAGAAAAACGAGGATGATGTCCAACTCAATTTACTTCATATTTCCAAAATGTTTATTGTTATTGCTTTCAAACAACTGAAGAAATTTGCCCTTTGGCTCGCATGCCATGAGTCAGTAAATCAACTCCATATTCCTATTTGCTATAAATATGTTACTAACAGTTGCATCTAGCTTGGCTTAGTAGAAATGCTAGCAGTAGAAACCATTTTGCTTTGTTTCTATCAGCCCATTCAGTTCACCTCTGTGATAACACTTCATCTATTTTTATATGGTTTAATTTCTACTAGGATGAACTGAAGACTGTTTTGATAGAACCTCGCAAACTGATCTTCTGCCATTGAGCTAAGCTACAACACCATTATCCTCTAAAATTGTGTTATTATTCTCATTTAATTTAACCCATAAAGGTGAAATATTAACCTATCAAATATAGCCAGATTCTCTCATACTATGAGGCTGACTCCCTAAATGTACGTTTAAGGGGAATAAACAGATATTAGCCACATATTTAGCCTCTTGGAAGTGTTTATCTCATCCAAAATCAGCAAGATATGCCTAATATCAAACTACATATCTGATCATTTCTGATATGTTATGATTCTTTGTTGAAAATATAGACTGGTTTGACTTGGTTTGGTACTAGTACATGGGAAAATCTGTAAATGTGCTGGCATTTCACAATATAATCCATTATATTTATTTTCTTTAAATGTATAAGTAATATTTCACAATTGATCAGACCTGTTACCTATCAATGCCATTTACAAATCTTTATTTTTTTAAGTCAATGGAGCCAAAAAGGAGCTGAAAATAGTTTATTTACTGTTATGATATATACCTATCAATGCCATTTACAAATCTTTATTTTTTTAAGTCAATGGAGCCAAAAAGGAGCTGAAAATAGTTTATTTACTGTTATGATATATAATATATCATAAATGGTAGTCTCAAATGGTTGGTGTTGCTTTGCCCCATGGGGACAAGGTTAAGTTTTTCCTTATGCTAACAGTTGTAATTCTGTGGAATGTTAAACAACCTATATGTTTGTGTTTATTCTACCCATTTATTTAGCAGGATGCATTGCAGCAGTTTGGAAAATTCTGTTCTTGTATGGAAGCCAGTTTATTTGAAAGTAGAATATTTTTTTATTGTGCATTAATTTAACATGGATAGATTAGTTTGCTTCTGAAAGCAATGTGATTTCTTTTTTTTTCTGCTTCGTGCTTTTTTTTGTTGTTTGGAAGTCATACATTTTTCACAAAGCTTTTGTTTTGTTGCCTCTGTTTCATCATGCAGATGAAGGACTGGATTTAGAAGAAAGGGACGCACAGAGTTCAAGAAAAAAAAACCAGAGGGCTTAAATGAGGTTTCAAATCTCCCTTTAAGCTCTGAGCAATCACAATGGTGATGTTACAGTCGCCCCTGTTGGAGGGGTGAGAGCAGAAAAATGAATCTGGTGTGGAGAATGGACATTGATTATGCAGCCATGCGGCTACCATTGTGCTTATAGCTCTCAATTATCAGTCAAATCAAATTGACTTTTTCAGAATTTCCACAGAAATATTTGGAGCGTGTGTGTGGGGCTGTGAGGCATGTTCATTTTCCTATTCCATTCCTATTAAAGTAGCAGCTACTGTACAGCCGCTGCCACAAAAGCTGTACAGCATCACACCAGGGCTGCAGTTTGTCTGAGTCCATGTGCATTCACATCAATAACCTTTGAGCTTAATTTCTTCAGTGGCCAGTATGCACCGGCAACAATAGTCTCCATTCGTCACCGCAGTTTATCATGTGGGAGGGGGTGTGTGTGTGGAGGAGGGGGAGAATCATCAACTTTTTCCTGAGCATGTGGAGGCGGGCGGAGGGTTTTGGTCTAAATGTTCCTCTGGGAGCAGCGGCAGAGTGCTGCTGCTGCTCAGAGGGTGATTCTGCTTGAGGCGGTCTGACAGGGAGCTGGAGACACACATGCACTCTCACGAAGAAAGACACAACGCACACACACAAAAGTACTCCAGCAATAACAAAAAGGCGCTCATTTGCTCGGTGTCTCCTCAACATAGACGTTAACAAATGCCAGCCGTCCTCCATCCTCCTATTTGCTTTCATGCTTAAAATCAATGGCTGCGGATACCAAACTGGGCTCTCGAATTTACGGAAAAATAAAGAAATCAATGCAGACTTATTAACTGAGCAGGGCTTCCTTTGCTGTCGACACAAAATTGTGTGTGAGGGCTTGTGTCTGACTTAGATGTACTTATAAAGGATGGTGGCTGCTGTGTGTGTTTAAAATGGGATGTACAAGTGTTTAAGCATCTTCCTGTCTGTGTGTGTGTTTGTATGTGTGTGTGCTCTTGACTGCTGGTGGCCTGTGTTTGTGCCAAACTGCTACTTTTGTAGGTGTGCTCTGCATAAGAATGAGCGAGTGTATGTGCGCTGTTTTGTGACAACCTCTCGGAGGTGAGTTGCTCTCGGGTTAGCGCCTCGGCCTCGGTGGACAAAAGGATGCTCTAAGACAAATGATTTAGCACCTGTCAGTCAGAGCAGAAGGACAAGAGATGAAAAAGCAAGAGGTCGGAGACTGGGGGAAACAAAAATTCAAATTGAGTCTTACAGAGCAGGAGAAGAAGAGAACGGAAAGGCAAACAGTAAAAGAGAATTTGCTATTTAGCTGTGGGTCATCAGATAGCTAAAGTGCCTGTGAGCGCTTTTCTCTGGTAAATGGCAGATCCCGTTTCTGCATGTTTTTTCTCCTAACACCAGCTTACGGGAGCTGTGACTGGCCTTCGGTGCCCCTGCGAGCAGACCTTCCCTCATCACAGGAGTTACCATAACAACAGATGAGGTCGACCTGCACCGGTGGCAGCACGGGGAGGTGAACTTTGTCTTTGCCCGCAGCTCTTCAGCTGTCGGCTGCTCCTTCACCACGTCAACACCCTGGAAAATCTTCACAGCACAGATTGTTTGTGGTTACGATCGAGATTTGTTTGGTCTGTGACAATAAGTCACTCTGTCTGGAATAAAAGAGACATATGTCACCTCAGAAATGACCAAATCAACACAGTCCAGTGATCCGGAGGGAGGTGCAGAGTCATGTTTGTGGGGATATTTGCAGATGCGTTGTGAGGATTTAGACGCAGGAGCTGAATGCTGAAGCGGCTTTGACTGACTCGTTGGTTTTATTAGATTCTCTTTGGCATTTACTGACTGACATCTGCCGTGTGGGGCTCGTGCATCGGCTCTCCTTTGACAGTCGTGTGTACACATTGTTGACACATTCTTTACAGTCAAAGATGCTTTGTTGACCTTGTTTTTTTCTGATTTTTTTGTCTGTGTGTGTGTCAAATCCTGAACAAAGCAGCTCGCTCTGTGAAAATGTTGACAGCGCCAAGAGCAGCTTAGCTAACAAGCATCTGATTGTGCAGATTATCTATGTTCCGCAGAGGATTACTCGGGCTGAAATGAACAAATTGACCTCTCACGACTAAAATCGCACATCAGCACGACAAAGAGGCAAGTGGGGGCTTTTGAGGGGCTGAGGATTTGTGCTGTCATTTAAAACGGTCTTGGGTTCCTTTTTTTTTTTTTTTCATTGTTTCCTTTCCAATTGAGAGACCTGGATATAGTCTTCTCCCGCCTCACCAGGCTCTCCATACAAGGTTTTCACAGCTGTATTGTCAGTCAGGGACATTTAAAAAAATCTTTTAAAGAGAGAAGCTCCATAATGTGCAGATGAATGTTGGTTTCTCTACCCGACAGGGTGTCATTTGTGTTGATAGGCTCATACCCTCACAGCAAATATCAGACTGTGCATCTTGTTCTGTGTGTATTCTTAGCCAAGGGCAGACCAGCGTCTCCACTCGGCTTCCCATTTTGACATATTTTTGACCGATTCAAAGCTATTTGGACCTCATTTCACAGTGAAAGGAAACAAAAGCTCAATGACAAACCAAGGCCTTATTAGAAATTCAATTTTTGTGCTTCCTGTCTCCTAACAATGGAAACGCATGATTCCCTCCATGCGGGCGAGCTCTGGAGAGGACATGTCATACTTTTGTTAATAAAGTGTCCCTTTTTTTCTTCTTTTTCTGAAAGCCCGTGATTGAAAAGCTTATGTAGGTCACATATTAATCTGGTTGGCTATCCTCATGTGCTCTAAACCATATGTACAATATTAAAATCTAGTTCATTGCTCATTGGCTTAATAATGTGGTGTGGCTGCACTGGGAATTACTTCTCAGCTCCCAAAAAAAAGTGATTCATACGCTTTTCCCACTTGGCTATTAAATTACGAGTTTGGATTAAAACATTACAAATGGGACATGCTTAATAAGTCAATGAGAGCAGCCTATATACTAAATATTTATCAGTCAGTTTATTTCAAGCCCGGGGCCTTTTCATCACTCTCTATTTTAATGAGATCTGCACGCATCTCCGTAATTAAGAAACGAGATGATTGCCGACTCATTCAGACGTCGTTGGAAAAGCTATCAGTGTTCTTTGTGGGTGACTCCACAGTCAAAAGCAAATTTCATGTGTGAGACGGGCTAAATGGGATGGAGGTACAAGGCCCGGGAGAACATGAATGTTTTATGACGACGCAAGGCTTTCGATTGAATCAATGAGGTGCCTGCTTCTCCAAAAGAAAGACCCTTTTATAGGCAGGTGGAGCAGGATATCTGCCCCCCCGTCAGTGGAGCAGAATGACTGACCCGGTGTGACATTTCAACATGTATAATATCCCCAGCTGAGCTGTATCTTCATGCGATCTGCTGCTTAGGAGGGGTTGTGAAAGCTGTCGGGCTACATGGTATCGGGCGAGTATGAGGCTGTTTTGACGTGTGCAGTCAGGCGGAACGATAAATCCCTTCCGGGCAGCGTAGAACTAAAGAAAAAGTGCATGGATGAGTCGCTCAGTGATGGGTGTGTATCAAAGACAGATATTGCTGCTAGGTGCTGATGGTTTTCATCAGATCATTAGAGTTGTTGCCACTTGAGGTTTGCTTTTAGGAGGTAAAGGTGGTTTCGAAGACTCCTCGCTTCAAAACTCAACCTCTCTCGCCGAGCTGCACATTTGTGTGTGTGTGTGTGTGTGTTTGTGTGTGCGTGGGTTTGTAAGACAATGACGGAGACAGAGCCACAGAGAGAGTGCGAGTGTGTTTGTGCATGCATTAAACAGACGAGAGAGACGGCCCTTTAGGCAACCTGCACATCTTTTATCACATCTTTAATTAATTGAAACGCATAATAGAAGCTGCTGCAGTTCCACTGAATAGACACAGCTGAATAGTAATCAGCTCGGAATGAAGAGATATGCTTGTGTTTTCTTGCTTTTTCTTTTCTTTTTTTTTCCGGCGACCCTACTTTTGTTATTTCACAATCATCTGCTTATTCGACAGATATGCAGCTAATGCCAGCTTCTGCTTAGAGGATTAAAATACAGTACAGGGGAGGAAAAAAAATCTGTGCTGCGCAACCGAGTGGAGGAACTGATGCTTGCCTTTCTCCTCTCCTTCACCTTCTCCCCCTAAAGGTTCTGCCTCCAAAAGCCTTCTGCGGGGCCAACATGGGCCTCCTGTGGTTGGCCAGACTCGTCCCGCTGGTCCTGGCTCTGGTCCCGCAGCGGTCAGCGGCCTGTCCCTCCGGATGTCGCTGCTACAGCCTGACGGTGGAGTGCGGATCGCTTGGGATCAAAGAAATCCCCGACGGCGTCCCTTCCATCACCGAGGTCAGTCGGCCGATCGACAAAAAAGTCGGGGCACTTGCTGTCGGTGCACCGCACTGACCCGTCCTCCCTGCATCAGCGGTTTCCAGTCGACTTCCCCTGTGATCCATTCTTATTACCCTGAAATGATTGTAGCTAATCAATTCGCTGTGACCCTCTTTGATGTGAGCCTGAGGGAGGGGCTGCGCTGTTGGCTGTGTAATTATTCATTCTTCTTTACGGAGCGACTCCCTCACAACCCCTGATCGTCTGTTGAGAAGATGTTCGACATTACACCTCCGTTCCCTCTCGGGTTCAGGCCCCTCCAACATTACCGCAGCTCATGAATATTAATGAAAAGCAAGTCCCGCATAAATCGTTCCATTAACCTCAATCAGCAGGTCTAGCTCGTCGATCACACCTCACCTCAATTCAGGATGAAGGCACATTAGCACCGAGCAGGCAGCCGGCGTTCATCACGGACCACAAACATAAAGCACTTGTCCAACAAGTCCAATCAATCACATTTTTTGACAGTGTTGGAAAAATGTTTGGGAAGACATCCACAAAACTTATAGAATAGAGTTGATTTTGTTTGGACCGCTATTTTAAAATGGGCCTCTTTCAAGCGTAATCCCCATTTACGCTGAACTTATTATTCTTTTTCCACATTAAGTTTAAAGCAGCAACAGGCAATACTTGCCCCCATTTGCAGCCTTTTTCTTGTCTCTCTAATGCAAATCTTTTTCGTGATGGTCCTCCTAATTTTTCTTAAATCTTGTCCCCCACAAAGACTGTCTTTCTCCAGGACAATGCCATCGTACAGATCCGTCTCCAGGACTTCACTCTCCTCAGAAGCCTGCATTATCTGTACCTCCAAAACAACAGCATCTCTGCCCTCGAGCCCGGGGCTTTCCTCAACCAGGGCCAGCTGCTGGAGCTCGCCCTGAATGGCAACCTCATCCACCTGGTGACTGCTGACATGTTTCGGGGTCTGGAGCACCTTCGGATTCTTTATCTAGCCAGCAACCAGATCACCCGGGTCCAGGATCACACCTTCAGGGGACTGCAGGTTGGTTTATGCTTTCTATTAAAAGCCCCTGACTAAATATTGAATAATGTTTGATGCCATGCAGATCTGCAGGTTCAGACGGACCTCCTCCCAAATACCACCAAATGGGATTCCTACTCACATTGGCCTAAATAACATTACTTTCAGTGGTCATTTCCAACTTTTTTGTAGCATTTTGCATATAACTGACGTAAAACTAGCTTCCATAAAGATCATATAAAAGAGTATGAATAGAGAAACATTTTGATCGGAGAACATGTGTCTGCAGCGCTTGCAGGAGCTTCACCTGCAGGAAAACAGCATAGAGCTGCTGGCGGAACACGCTCTGTCCGGCCTGTCGTCTTTAGCCCTGCTGGACCTCAGCCGGAATCACCTCCGCACACTGGGAGCCTCGTTCCTCAAACCACTTGTTAGCCTGCAGGTGCTCCGTGTCACAGGTGGGTAGAATTTATGGATCAAATCATTTTCGAGGTGAAAGGAGGAAACCCTCCTTTGGTCAGTTGGTCCCATCGAAATATTCACAGTTAGTTACACCAGAAGGACTTCAAGTACCCTAAGACACAGATGACACATTAAATAGTTTCACCCAACCAAAGACCTAATAAGAAAGAAAGGATTCAAAGTGTATGGTGAAGAAACAGCCAATTAAGATCCCAGTGTATGCTTGTCTTTTGTAACATTCCCTATCTGAAACAAGAAATGTGACATTTGCATGCGCTCCTTCCAGTAATTGGGCGGCCATGCCAGTGTAACACCCAGGACTGAAGCTTTCTTTGCTAATATCTGCCACATCTTTGCACAACTAGCTATGACTGTGATCTCTTGGCAGCTGTCTAAGAGTCTTCTTTTTTAAATGACTGTTTTAATATCCAACGTGATTGATCAACATGGCCAAGAAGTTGTGAAAGAATATTTTTGTGGCAGGCACAAGCCCCCCGTTGTTCGTTTAAATTTAGCATAAAAACAGCTGGGATTGGATGTCATTTTTTTCTTTAGAAGAGTTCTCATGGCTGAAAATCTTTGCCATTATTCAAGGGAAGTGCTCAAAATGCTCATTCATTCATTTTCAGTCCAGTTGTTGTTCCTGACCCTTCGTGTTTGTGAAAACCCACAAACTCTCGTTGAGTGATTTGAGCATCTTTCCAGCCACATTCCGTGTCCGTACTGCCTGCTCTCTTCGACCTCGACTCCTGAGTCATGGCCTTATTTTCTTTCTCCCATTCATTTTGCTGGCCCGATGAACATGAAAATAATGTGTTGTCAGCTGTGCTGAACAGCATGCATCTTCCATCAACCCTTGCCTCAAAGGAGAGAATGTTAACACAGTGGAAAAAGTCAGTACATCGGAGAGTAATATTCTAGTATGAGATTTTTGATGTTTTTCTAAACTAAGGCCATATCAATGTGTGACTTGAAGGCATAAAATCATATATATATAGGCCATTATAACCACTATCGCACACAGTTTGTGGCATTTGTAGTTTACTGGTGCACTTTAATAAAGACTGAGGTCTTCATTACAATTATGCACTTACAGTGACAAATAAAAAATGAAAAAAAAAGTCTAAATGCAGTGACAAATGGTGCACAGCCTGGCTAATTATGAGTTATGCTGTGCACATCTTCTGCTTGGTCCATTGCTGTTAATGAGAAAGCCTTGATTGCTGGTGTGATAACTCACACTGATGCAGTGACAAACATATTTCCCAAACTGGAACAGTCAGATAATACTGTGTAGTACACTTTGCATCGTATACCGTATCTGGAGAGATAAAGTTTAGATGGGACAGTTCATGAACACCAAGTTTGTGTGTGTTTTTTAAATTGGCTGATAACATCAATATCATTCAGGCTGTCGTCCAACTAACTACAAGATATGTCAAATGTGGTCTAATACGCCCGTTCAGTTACTTGTTATCAAACCTCAGGCTCTGCTGCACAATGAGGCAATAAATGCAGACATAATGAAGTTATTCTTTCAGTTACACTGATAAGTGCTCAAGCCTTGCAGCTGAATTGTTTTTTTCTTTTTTTTTTGCCAAAGCATGTGTCATACATTTAAACAGGGCTTCATGAATTGTACTAAGTTGTGAAAAAAGACACAAGCAGTCTGTGTTAAGGACACATGCTTGCTTTGATTTCTTTGACTGTATTTACACAAAAAATGGAAGATAAAACTGTCCAATAGAGATTTAACTGATTCCCAAAGAACTATCACCACAGTTATTGGGAATGAAGGGGTCATTGTTTGGCACATTACTGAACTCTGGAACAGGTTCTTTGGAATTCAGTTTAGTTAAAAAAGGGCCATCCATGAATGGTTCAACCATTTTTTTCCCTTTTGGCTTGTACCCGTCTCTTGTAGAGAATCCATGGCGCTGTGACTGTGCCCTCGGCTGGCTCAGAACCTGGATCAGTGAAGATGGACAGCGACTGCTGAGTTCCGCAGAGCAGCGTCGCCTGATGTGCTCAGAGCCCCCCCGCCTTTCCCACCTCAGCCTGGTGGAGGTGGCTCCCAACAGCCTGGTCTGCATCCCTCCTGTGGTGCAACTGGAACCTAGCCACCTGACTGTTCGCCTGGGAGAGAGCCTCAGAGTCTCCTGCCAGGCCTCGGGATACCCACAGCCCCAGGTGACGTGGAAGAAAGCCTCCCATGGTAAGACCCAGTTATCGCCCCGAGGTCTGTTCCAAGAGCTGGGACCCAACGGGGAGTTATTCAAACCTGGAGCTGGAGGAGTTGTGACAGCTTTGCCCAGCAGTGGAAGCGTCAAAGTGAGAGGCGTCGGGGGGGTCCACGGGCTCGTGCGTGGGGCTGAGGAGGGTGGCGAGAGGGACAGCTTTGATCCGGACATGGGCAGCGGGATGCTTTTCCTCAGTAACGTGACCGTGGCACACGCCGGGCGTTACGAATGCGAGGCCTGGAACCCTGGAGGCGTGGCCAGAGTCACTTTTCACCTGGCTGTCAACATGTCTTCTTCTTCATACTCACCCCAGTCATGGCCTCGTCTGAATACGAACTCTTACATCTCTGCTTCGTCCAGCTCCTTCTATCAGCCGGAAGTTCTGGACGTCAGCCAGGAACCTTTGTATGAGCAGGAGAGCATGGACTTCAATGCCTTGGGCCCGGCCACGCAGACCGCTATAGCTATTGGTATCTCTTTGCTGGCGCTCACCGCCGTTCTCCTCCTGATTATGATCTACACTCGCCACCAGCAGTACCAGAAAGAGGACAATGGCTCCTATTGCACCAGCAAAGAAGAGAGCATTCTGTATGTGAACGATTACTCCGATGGACCCACCACTTTTGCTCAGCTGGAGGAGTATCGTGATGATCACGGCCATGAGATGTACGTACTCAACCGGGCCAAACCCGTTATGGGCTCTGGTTCCAGGTGTCCCATGATGAGTGGGTTTGTCCAACAAAAGGGCATGAAGGAAGCTCTCCTCAATCATGAAGTTGTTCAGACGCTGACGAGATCGGGGGGGATGGGGCTTCTCAGGAACCCGGCAGAAGGTGGAGAGGGACCCCTAACAACAGATCCAGAGGAGCTCTTCCTCAGCCAGAGTCTCCTGTTTGGATCACAAGTTGCCTATGAGATTCACTGCTAAGGCATTTCCATTGTGTTGTCATGTAAAACATTGAGACTTCTTTGAAAGTATCAAAGAAATCAGAGATGCAATGATTTAATGCATCATTTTATTCTATGGTGTTCTAAAAAAAGAGCATGTCAATTCATTTTTAGCAAACCGATGTCACATGTGACACAAGATGGATCAAAAGGGCCGAAAAGTGATAAATACAGAAAAAATTTACAAATTAATCATATTGTTCTGTCTCTAGATCAACCCTTTAAAAATGATTATAAGTGGCTGACCTCGTTAAAAAAGTAGTTACCATGACAATTCAACTAAATTCTCAAATAAGCAGATTCATTTGGTAGTGAGTGAATAATATTTTGTACAAATGTATTTCCTACGTAAGATTTTCAGTGTTTTGTCGGTGCTTGTGTAAATACAATTAAGCTACATCTCACTGTGAAGTCCAGCTATTTTGTGGGTCCTGTTGCAGATTAGAATTAGAGCTCCAGCAATCCTCTCACTGACGCTGAATTACCATGTTCATTAGTGTGAGTGGGTGTGAGTGGGAGGACTTGATTAAGAAGGTTAAATCTAAATGTGGCAACAACTCCCCCCCTTTTTTTTATGCTTGTTCCATACCACTGTAGTAATTCTAATCATTATCCAATGCATTTTCTACACTGATTGCAACACCAGAACAGACAGTTGACATTTCCGATGTCGAACAGTTTTGAAGGGCTCGTGGTGAAAAACACAACAACAACAAGGCCAAAGACAACAGTTCTGAACCTGCAACAAAAGAGACAATAAGGAAGTCGCACAACAATAAAATTCAGAAAACCCAACACTATAACAAAAGAAAACATTTAACGTAAACACAAAAGAAAACGAGCAAAATAAACACAGTACAATGAAAAATGTGATTTTGAAATAAACACTATGTTTAGTCCTTGCAGCTTTTGTTGTACATTTCAGTTTTCTTTTTCAAATGTTTCAATTGGTGATTTTCTTTGGTTGTTGTGTTTTGCACCTCAGGGCCACAATAGAAACATTAAAACATCATTCTACCAATAGAAGACTATAATAATTAGAATGTGAATATTGTACATTATGTCTTCAGTTTCTACACAATAAAATGTATTTTAAATTGGTCCGTGTCTGTTTTCTTACAAGGTTGTTTGGATGAGACTGTCATTTTCTGTTGTGTTGCCTCGGGAGTCTATAGAATTACTTTCCTTTCAAATCTTGCAATGTAGCAGGTCTGAGAGAGAAAACATCTTTTCATAGAGAGTCTAGCTTTCAATAATTGTGTATGTCAGTCTTTTTGAAAGTTCCACAGTTCAGAACCCTTTTATTATTCTCCTTTGCCGCTTCTATGAGAGCTTTCAGAGCTACTTGTGGACCAAGATAAAGACGTGCAACTAAAAATGTGCCCTGCAAAGTCAAATAATCTGTGTTCGCACAAACACTGAGAGCCATATCGACTGCGAGTCAAAAGCTAGTCAATATTTTTCTCAAAAAGTCCACTTTGTCAATATCTTACCATAAACACTGTCAGACACTAAGTATGTATTGAGGAGTAGAACATTGAACTTATTTGTACAGACTGTCAATTGAATAGTATTATAAATCAATGGTTCTGTCTCCTGCAAAAGTTTCTTTAACTATGGTTCTTTTTATAAGTTTAGATTCAAGTTTTACTTCTTTTTTTTTGCCTTGCCTTGAGTTTAGTTCTGCTGCAAGCTAGCCTTTTTTTCATAAATTGAACTAAGTATTAGAATAGTAGAGTTTCCCTCAGATGGAAATCATTACCAACACACTGAACATGCAAATACATTATTCACCCAATATACTCACCTAAGAGAAATAACATTCTGTCTTTTTAAAATGGCAATACATTTTCCAAAGTAAACCTTTTCATCCTGTAAAGACAAAGGCTTGTCAAAAGTAAATCACCTTTATTTGTAGCATCCAAAACGTTTCAGTGTATAACCGTTCAAATATATTTGGATTGCCTTCTCTTATCAAATGATTGTACAAATAATGGGGATCTGGCAAGTCCCACCAACAGTAGTTAGTGTTAGATAGTAAATACCCATTGGCTGTTTGGAAAATGAATCATATTTTTACATGTGATATTTCTAATGAGAATTTGTCCTTTGCCAAACTGGCCCTTGGCTAAGACTGGCTTACTGGTTCAGGAGAAAGAAACCATTTGAGTGCCTGGCCCATTAAACAGAGCAGAAGGTGTTTGTTAGATCCCTTTAGACCATACATAGAGGAAAAAATGCATTGATTATTTGATTATAACCATGTAATCAGAAATGTAAATGCTGTGTATTAATACAGGGATATAGGGGAAAATTCTAACAAGCTGGAATGTCTACATTTTTCAGCCATTTTTTCTTTTCTCAGCACAGCCTGAACCCTGTGAGACAAATTTTCTTGTTATTTCTTCAAGTAGTCTGCTGGAATAGTTATCCAGGGTTCTTGAAGGACATTCCAGTCTATTTCTCTGGATGTTGTCTGCCTTTGTTGAGTATTCTATCAAGATTACACTGGTTTTCAACTAAATTCCTCTGTCATTTTGTATACATCAGACTTTTCTTCTCCTTCCCTCCTTTAAGAATGGCTCATTCACATTGTCCCTTTCATGAAGATGCTTTTTGATGAGGGTCCAATAATGAACTATTCAATTATTGAATGCATTTCTAAAGTTCTATGTCAGAGAGATTTGTATCCTATTTCTTAAACAAATAACTCTCAAATACTGATAATTTGCTAAACCACACACTTTTTTATTTATTTCCTCCATGCTCAGCTTCACTGAGGTATGCATTCACATGAACACCAGGATTCACATTTTCCTCCCAGAGCTTTGAGCTGTATAATGACTCTGCCTATCAGTGGTTTAAATGTTACAGCTGAAGCCACAGTTTACTAGATTGCAATCGTTAGGTATTGATAAACGGGAGATTAGAAGTAGCTGGATAAACTGACAATATAAAGCAAGCTGGTAAGATGGGTGAAAGACAGGACAAAACAAAGTCCAGAGAAAAAAAATGGGAGGATAGTTGCTACAGTAACACATCTTCCCGTTATTTTACTTTTTTCCTTCGACTTTTTTTCTTCTGCATTCAGATCCGTACTTTAACATCTCAATGACATGTTTGGGAAGGCGTTCACATCCCCTGCTGCTGACAATTTTCCCTCTTTCAACAGTTATATGGAAGTAACCAGACTAATAGGCTTTCTGAAGGATCTTCATGTAAAATCTACACGCAGACCCAATAGATATAGGAAGATACAGCTTGACTAATTGATCAGGGGTGTGCTCCTAATGTCCCCGTCAGACATTTCTGTGTAGCTAGCCCTGGCCTCATTACAGGCAGGCGAGCGAACACATGGGGACAAAAATACAACACTACCCATATTAAAAAAGAAGATAACCTGAAAGAGCGACGCCACTATCTCAGATCTCATCACAATATGTCCTTATCAGTCCACCGTCCCGATAAGGCATTATGCAGCTTATCTGACACAATGAATTTGAAATACTCTAATTCTAGTTGTCCCACAAAGCAAATTGATTTCTTTTGTGTCCGCTGTAATACGATTCTGCGAGTGTGTCATTACATGCCCAGCTCACAATGGTTGTCATGGGCACAATTGATTCGATACATGGATGTAAGCAGACTAGTGCCACCGTCTCCGGCTGAATCTCAACGTCTTTTTTGTCTCCGTTTTGTCTCTGAGCAAAAGAGACTCAGAGCCAGAGCTGCATACAAGAATGTACAGTAATCCAATAGTTTGAACAAGAATGTAATAGCTGCCTTGTCACCTGAAGCTGTGTCTCACTCCGACGCTGAGTACATACTGCAGGCACTTTTGTAATCATTTCCTGAAATTCAAACTGGAGCACCTACAGGCTTGTGCTGTTGATTAAAGACATCCAGAATTCATTCATGGGCAAAAAGAGAAAAAAAAAAACACCAATAATGGCTCTGATATGGAAATGGGGTTGTAAAATAAGAACATTCAGACTAAGCAGAGGAGTGCATGATTTGCCTCTTCCAAAAATCAATCAAGACCCAGATTGTTGTACGTGTAGATGTAAGACCAACTCAGAATGCTCATAGCAGAGGAGCTAAATATGTGAGAAGCTAAATGTCTCCCCCAGGATTACAGTTTGTGTCAGTGACAGCCTTAAATGGTAAAATCTGATTTCATGATTAGTTAAAAGAGAAAATGCAAAAAAATGTCCAAACACTCTTCCATTAAAATGTGCATTCTGAGAGACGTTATGGGATGTTTTTCTATTAGAATTTGATTTCTGCCTTTTTAGCTGGGGCCAACTATCATCCCATCAATCATCATGTGGAGTAAGAAAGCATCAAACCAGAGAGAGCTCATGGTTTTCATACTGATGATGCTCCCCCTTTCCCCCCCCACTTTCTTTCAGCTATCGGTTCCCATCTCTATCAGAACTCAGTCCAACACAAGGGAATGAATTTTGATCCATGAGGTCAAATGTGAGATATCTGGGACTGAATTATTGATGTGGTTCCGTATGGCCTTGACAATGGCTTTTTCCCAGGTGATGGATTTCTACAAAAATCTTTCATGTTTGGTGTCAGTTACTTTGTGCTCATACATAACCTTTGGGTTTTTTTGTGATCACTTTAGCTTTAATATTTCATTACCTTTCAAAATTAGCACTGAGTATCAGTCAGATATATTCATATTTAATATTATTGAGTAAAGGCAGGAAAGGGACTGTGTGCCCCTACAGATGTACAGCATATATCTTTCAGAAGCAGAGTTTGATTATGAATCCCAGAGAATTGTATCATAAGTCATCTTTTATTCAAAGCATGAATTAACAGAACTTCAGAGTCTGGACTGTATGATTGAAAGCTGGAAAATCAATTCAGGTAATAACTGTTTTTTTTCTCTGTCGAACAGGCCTCTGACATAAAAATAAAAAAGGACATTTATCTTCCTCTTTATATGCTTCAGAAAACCTGCAGGACCAATGCAGAGCAGAATAGATGCTGAGTCTTACGTACATTGTTTGCAAATCCATTTCCTTCAGTTCTGCTGTTTTTTTCATAAGGAATGAAGCACACTAGCATTATAAGCGCTGGTGACAAGGATAAAATGCTGATTTAAAATGCAAAGTGCAAACCTAATTGAACAGAATAGAATGACGCGGAATGAAAAATGATTCCCCCATTAGAAGGAACCATATTCTTGCAGTTCAAATAAACCCATACGTGTCGTCATAAAATGTGTGTAATATGGGAGTCAAAAGGGAGGCGGTACTCAAACCAAACACCAAGATATTTGGTCAGAGTAAGATGTCTTGTCCAGAATTGGATATGGCACTGATGGGGATGGCTGAAATTGATGTGAAGTGCCAACCAATATAGCATCAGTTTTAAAGCTGTTGAGCTGAGGAAAATTCTGATTCATGCCAATATTAAAGAGCTTTTGTCACAAAGCTAGATGCTATGGGGAAGACAATTGAAAAGGATGTTTGGTTGCTGGTTTTGAAGCAAACACATGGTTTGGTTTTAGATGACTTTATAGTTAGGTGGCAACAAAGGAGATTTGCTTTTGGTTTGTATTTTGTGAGGATTGTGTAGGTTGAAAGTGGGTGCTTTTTTTTGTGATGGCTTTAGTGTGTCAGTACATTCTTGTTTACAAATCCAGCTCCAGAGGAGCCCCAAGTTTAAAAGAGAAACAGGTTTAAAATCTGATAAAAACATGTAAAACTGAATAACAGCTCCGATATTAAGTTTGACATACCTTTTATGCAGTACTGTTCTCTCTAGTGAGACATGTAACATGTGCAGCATCAAGTGTATTTTTAGAGTAAAATAAGAGGAAGATGCAGACCACCCATTGTTTCCGTTCAATCTTTTATTTCATATTTTAGCTCATAGTTTTTACCTTTTGAGAGCAGGAGGATCATGACAGAAATTTTTCTTGCTGGGGTTCATTGTTCCCACATGCTTTTTCATTCTGGCTGCACTTATGGTTTCCTTCAAACTGTAAACCACATCCCATCACCCCAATCTTCTCCTCTAACAACTTCCCTTCATACTTGAAAATGGCTAAGAGGGAACTCTACACTCTACCCTCAGGTGATATTCTCCACAATAGGGTAAGTCCCTTTTCCTTTTTGCCACACATACAACCTAACAGTGTGTATATGGTGGGAACACCTCATTTGATAGAAATTTCTAAACACGTAATTGTGAATTTGTTGTCGTACTGAATCTATGAAAGGCATTACTATGAAATACACCAAACATGTAAAGCTTAAAAATGAAAGAGATCAGAAGGTTTTTAATGCTATTCTGGAACAAAGTTAGCTGTTTCTGTTACTTTTGGAAGTTTTGGATTGTGGTATATATGTGAAAAATCCATTGACGTACAATGTGTTTAGACTTTTTGTTTGGCAATTTATCAAGCATCCTATTGAAAATTATTTTTGCTTTTTCACCATCTAGCTTATTAAAAACACTGTATAAAACAGTTACTACTTTAGAAAAGAGAAGGAAAACAACCTCACAGTGTGCTTTAGGCCTTTTTCACGGAGAACAGTCTGACTCAAAAGAAGAAAAACACACCAAACACAATTAAATGTTGGCTTATCCATCAAGTGTCGTCGTAAATCATGTTTGTGCCTCGAATGCTAATTTCGTCACTATGCAGAGAATGAATCTTTTTGTTGTGCTGTTTAGACTCTGAACTGTAAATGTCATCCCATAGTACACAACCCATTTGTCATGTAGCAGCAGAACTGTAGTGTTCACAGCCTGCACGATATATTGATCAACACTGACCATGATGTATTGGGACCTGTCTCTCTCGTGTCATTAACAGCTCAAATGCTCGCTGTGGCTGTTAGATACTGTAATATTCCTTACATTGCATACAGTACTAATCCGATGCTTCGGCTGTGCGCAGGTAGAAGGATTCATTTTCTCCTCTGCCTGAGTAACTGATCACTTCGAAAGGTTCTGCCAATTCAAAGCTTGTAAAGTCTTGCTCTCAGCAAAAGGGTTTTTAGAGTAAGTTGGCCCTTGTGTTTGTAAGGGTTACCTTCTCCTGGAACACAGTCAAGAGTCAGTTTCAGCTCTCTTTAATAGTCATTTGATCGAATCGAGTGAACTTCAATGACAGAAATCCTGCCATTTATTCCTCATGGAATAGAGATAGTGTATTCAGAATGGAGGAGCTGGAGATGCATGACTGTGATGTAAATGATGCTCCGGCTCCGGCGTTTGTCCTTCATCCCTAACCGTCACGGTTGCTGCCTCCTTCCCATCAGCAGACGAATGTCGTATGGTGAAATGCGAGCGGCTGAATGAGATTGCAGACCTTGGCAGCGCGCGTGGTAGCTCCTAAATATGGAGCCACTGAACACTGAGCGGTAACGTAGCCCTTTTCTGCCTCCGTCCGTCCTGTGTTGGCCACCGACACAAGTGGGACACGTACAGGAGAGGTGTAGGGAATAGCGGGTTTGTTTTTGGAGGCTTGGAATGAAATTTTTCTCATGTGTTTTGGCTTTTGAAGGGCACTTTCAACACTTTGCAACAGAGCAGATTTGGGACAGACAGCCTGTAACCTGTACCAGGAGTCTGCACAAACACAGAGAGGAAAAATCTAAACACGAGGAACAAAGCTTTTTCCACAGGTTCGGTCAATAAGATGACATTTCCACTACCCAAAATTGAGAATATTTCTTGGTTAATTTGCTCGTAGATTGAGATGACCGCTCTCTCATTAGCTTTGACTTCAAAAGCTCTCATAACAAACTGCTTTGATGTCGGTGAGCAACCTTTAATAATCTTTAATCCTTTTAAAGAGGCATTAGCATTAGGGAAGTAAACTCTGTGTTTCATAAACAGTTGAAAAAATACAAAAAGAAAAAAAAATTACATTCATACACTAAAATATCAATACCACAGTTTATCTTTAACTCTGTAACGTTTTTCTTCTTGGGTTTTTCACCTGAATGCACCAATGGGTCAGCTGTTGGATCCTTGTATTGGATTTGAACATTTTGATATCTAAGAGTTAAAAAAAAATCTTGAAAGTCTTCTGATCGATATGACCATTTAGGTGGGTAGTTTTGCTCTTGAACATAACTCATAACAGCGTCCTGTAAATTGTGGCTACTATAAACAGTAATCATTAATAACTAGAATTTTTGTTTTGGACGGATGTCATTTAGAGAAGTTTGAGTAAAGGAAAAGTTGTTTTTAATAAGAGGGAGTTCTGTGATGCGTGAGTCAGATTGCTGTCTGTTCGCAGAAGCTGAACGGATAACTGCACAGAGCAAGGACAAAAGAAGAGCAACTATCTCAAACAACTCAAAAAGTTCAAATGCGACAATTGTATTCCATCACCGTCAGATGCCCTGAATGAAGCTTTGTCAGAACTTCACCTCTGTCAGCCAACGCGAATGAACGATAGCACTTCACCTCTATCGAATCATCCACCCTCAACAGTTTTATGCCCTTGTCAGTCCTGTTGTGTTAACAATTAGTCTCAAGTGGTTCTCCCATTACTTCTGGGTCAGGAACAGGGACACTGAGGTCAGTTGTTAGAGCTGTTATTGTATTTTTTAAAATGCATGACAAAGAGGATTTCTTGCGAGCTTTTCTATAGTGATGTTTTTGTATATTTCAAATCTGGTTAAGTGGAACCATCGACAGTAGATGAAAAGTATCTGACTATAATTTCTTGAACAAAACAAGAAATATAAACAAAGATCGGGGGCTGAGACATACATCTGGACCTTTGGCTGATTCCTCTGAAGCTCACTGATGCGTCACTGGGAATGCTCCCCATGGAAGGGGTGGCTGTCAAGGAACCATTCTTAATGAGGAGAAACAGAAGGAAGAGGCTGAGCTATGGCAAATGGCTCAAGACGTGGACTGGAAATCAGTGGCATCGGGTCTTATTGAGGGATGAATCCTCCCCAGAGCCCGGAGCTTGTAATTGTTGAAGCAGTGTGGGATCGTCTGACAGAGAAAAGGAACAAAAAGGAAGCCAACATCCAAAGAGCTTTGGCGTGGAACAGAGCTAAGGTAGCCCAGCTAACTAATATGGACTTCCCGTTCTGTTTGGGGTTATGCAAACTCTACGCTCCGTTCAATTTTGGGCTGCTCAGCACAGTTTTAAATTATGCTATAAATCAAACATGCTGTCATCTGTTGGCGCTCAAGACAACAGATATTCTGATGCATATTGATGATTTACAACAGAGTTGCTGGAGCTTGTGTTAGTCCATTATCACCTGGAATACGCTGTGGTAAAAGATAGGGGGACGACAGGTTTACATTCATTTATCCTGAGGTACTTTGTTGACTTTTGTACCCTAAAATGATAACAATTGGACCCTAAGGCATGGATTTGTGTGTTCAGAGGCAATGTGACGTTCAGTATACTTCTGTTCCCAAGAAGTAAAAGGACAAACAAGGCTACAACTGCAGGACCTTTGATTGTGCAACCCATTGGACCCCCAAAGGCAGAATTTGGTCCTGTCTTTTCTGAGAAAAGACCATAATGTGAATTCTCCAATGGCAAAACAAAGTAAACACTTAGATAAGGTAACACCCATAAATATGCGTGCAGTTTAATCTGGAGTATTTTATCACAAACACCAATCTATAAACCCTAATGGTTCCCATTGCAATAGTTACAACACAAGACCAGAACCTAACCCTGCAACAGAAAATTGCAGCAAGAATACCACAGAGAGTGCTCTGTCCCAGAAAACGTTACAGCCCTGCAGAGCCGGAGCTTTACTCCTGAGAAGCCAGAGCTAAAAATTTCTCAGAGTGGAGCCATGGGCGTCATCAGCCACTGAATTACCAAACTCTTATTGATATCCCTAAATGAGCGGGTCAAAATTGAGTTGTTGCACCAACAAATAGATTGTAAATGGAGCTGGAGAGGCATGAAATGGATATTGATCCCTTCGTGTGCATCTTCAGCAGCTTCTTTCCAGCTAAGGAGGGATCATTTTGATGCAATACTTCTATTTCGGTTTAATATGACAAAAAATACTTGCAGGATACACAATGCATATATAATAAATAAACATATGAGGAAGATGTATCCAGTTAAAAGTTAAACACACATTCTTTTTTATTCCTTTAAAGGATTAACTGGAAGAAATGTAGAGACTTGGACAAACTGACTGATGAGTGTCCTCTCATAGAATTTACATTAGAACCTGTTTTTTTCCTTCTCTTTTTCCAGAACGCAGACATAGTCAACATCTCGTTCCCAATCGGGCTTGTCCCCTCTCTGCGCCCGCTGTTTATCACTATGCATTTCCTGCAGATAATGAGAAAACAATGCTTCCTGACCCACTTAGGCCACACTGTGGAAATGCTGCTCCAGTCTCACATTGACATTTAAAATCACAATGCTCATTCAGAGAGCATGTCATCCATGTCACAGCTCTATAAGTAAATGGGCAAAGTAGTTGTTTTTTGTCCTCCGGCATATCCTGGCGCAGAGGATTCATGCTATTGAGCAAATGTCTACTTTCACATCTAAAGAAAAAAGAAAAGATGTTTCCAATAAACAGGATGAATTTACATGTAATGCACATTGTTTTAAAGTAATGAGATAAAGAAAGCATCTCATCCATCAGCTCTGATATTTAACATGTCACCACATTATCTGGTTTTGGGTTTTGGTTTTGTTGTTTTCAGTGATTTGTCTCTGTTCTGCTTTCCTTCCTATCTGTTATGGAGTCATTTGCTTTATAGGATTACGGCCGTTTGCATTTTTGTCTTTAGTTGTCTCATGTAGTTCCTTTTATAGTTCAATTTGTTTTTTAAGACAGTGAGTCTTGTCTCTGTTTAGTTCCATATTCTCACCCATAGTTTTCCATATTCCCCTCCTGCCTGGTCATTTACTTCACTGCCACATGTATCCATTGCCCTCAACTGCAGCTATGAACTGATAAGCTCCCCCCAGTATACTTGTTTTCTCTTAGTCTTCAACAAAATGATTCTATATTTTATCCTAGTTTTGAATAGATAGTAAACAATCACATTGGCCAAAACAAGAAAGCATGAGTCACTATTTCCCTGAGGATGTTTTTATTTAACTGAAAGAATTGATGCAGACCGGAATTTATTATTTTAAGAGGTACATGTACTTATTAAAAACTCTGGAAATGGACAAGATGTTCTTTCCTTCTTTGTATGACTGTTTTTATTTCAACAGCTCTGTAAAGGTTGAAAAACACTTTTTATTCTCTGTGCGTAGAATTTAGAGAGAACAGTGTTGTAGCACTTTGGCGTCCTCTGTGTCTTATAGGCATCTCAGCAAGATCCCTTACAATTCCTCAAAAACTTCTCTTTTATGACACGCATGTTGGAATTTTCCAAATCAAAGATATTCCGGAGAAGTCAAGCTCAGATCCTTGTAAATGAAAAAAAAGAAACAGCAAGGAGTAAAAAGCAAGAGAAGATACTTAAGAAAGAACGAGCAAAACCATTTAAATCTGTTCGTAGGCTTCAACTTGAGACGAAAATAGATTATTTTTATTCTTCTCAGACAGATTTTCATGGCAAGGCACCCCCACTCTTTGCTCTCTCTTTAGATTTATTGAAGCAGTCTAGGATATTGCTTTGTTTTTGCATCATGAAAGGCTCTACGTTGGAAACTTTGAGCTGAAACACATTAGAAGTCATGACTCATGTTGTCCCCATCATTATGTTCTCAATGAAAAACATACAGCCAAAGACATGGACTGTGTTGTGTCAGGTTGTGTATATTCTGAAAGGTTGTTCAATGAAATACATAAATACACATGCAGTTCTGGAAAATGGATGTGTTTGCAAACATGATAAGCATTACTTTGCTTATTTTACTATAATTTTAAAAAAATCATTGAGTTGAATTTAGCGGAGTCTGATTGTTGGATTAACTGAAAGATACAAATGGAATCTGTATTGTTTTACCACCTCCCTAATCTGTAATCTGGGGCTCATCTTCTCATCTTTTTTTTAAACCATTTACTTCTCTGCCTATATAATGTCTTAAAAATGCCCACCTGAAACCTTTTCCCCTGAGAGGTGTTTAATGATTGAGTTTTGTCCTTATTAGGATCTACTCCTTAATCTTCCTGGGGAACCCTCCTAATTTAAACATTTGTATCTTTTTTTTTTAAATAAGTAGGCGCAACTCCATGCTGAGAATTTGTTTGACTGGAGCCCCTAATCTAAAGCTCAGTTGAGAGATAAGCCTCTTCTATTCAATTACAGTCTTGACAATTTGGTGAATGTCATGGTAGAAAAGAGTGGTGCACGAGGTTGCATTTGCATTTTTGATGTTTGTTTTTGATGTACTGTTACCATAGAAACTCTGGGAAAATGTATTCCAATCAGTCAGGACTACCAAGTGTTGAGGGTAAGGTGTTTACATGCTATGCGAAGATAAACATAAGATATACCATTTTTTTCGTATTCAATTTTTACTTATATACATGCCAACATATATGTATATGGTTTTGCAAAACCAGGTCTAAATAAGTCATTATAAAAACTGGGAGCCTTGTAATATTTCAATAGTCTGAACACATTCGTAGCTGTGTCTTTTTTCAACATGTGGACAACAACAAGATGCACAATTGTATGTCTTCATGTGCCCTATATTCAGAAGATTAATTCTATCCTCATTTCATTGCAGCCCTATTCCCTGGTACACGGGGGTTTTCATAAATAAGTCTTCCAGCATTTATTGTTGACCGTGTGTGCTTGTCCAGCGGTTGGCCTTCAAGCCAATAGCTGCCCAGCATTGGAGTCTCAACCCCCGGCTTGACCCTTCACGTTTCAAACTGATGTCTTATTATCTGCAGCAGCTGTGCACAAGGAGAGTACAAATAAATTGATTGCTGAGAATGACAAACAACAGGCCCAGAGGGAGAGGTTAAAGAAATGCAATTACTAAAACACGTAGGCATGAGCAAGAATTTTGAACTTTTTCAGAACCAGAATAAAAAGTATAGGCATCAGCAAACGTATGAATATTAAGTATATTAAGTGTGTTCCGCCTCATAGAACTCAGTGGGAGGATTGCAAAAGCTGTCTTCAAAATGACAAATACTATTCCAAGCTACCATGCATTTTGCCACGGTGGGGGCGTAAGTAATTACGATGTGTAAACATTACCGTGTTCTTCGAAATTGAATTGACTCCGAACCACGTAGCAATTACAACCATATAAAAGGATGCATGCAAAGAAGGGCTTAATTAGAGTGATACAAAATTCAATTTAAATTAGCAAGAGAATTTAAGAGGAAATCAGATTTGGTCGTTATTTTACATTTCCTAGACGAGGTCCTTCTTAACGAGTTTATTTTTAAAACCGTCTCATTCCAGATATTTTTGGAACATGTAGTTAGGTTAATTGAGTGTGTGTAGTTGTGGTTCTGTGATGTTCTGGTGAGCTGTCCAGCTGTCCAACCTTGCGTTACGTTTTACAGATTCGTTCCATCACTACTTCCTCTAAAAGTAATGAATAACACCCTTGATCAATGCATGCCACCAGCAAGATTCCATGCAAATGGTGTAATCAGTCTAAATGTAGACAGCAGCAGTTAACTTTCAAGTCAAAATCAAATGGGTGCATGGCACATTTTAGATATCTTAAATTCTAGCCAAAACTGTAGTGAATCTATTCTTTTGATCCTCTGTTGCCATCTAAACGCATAAGGTCCCATTTTCTGAAAACTGATTTATTGCCTCAATATTTCTGTAGCAACGCTTACAGCAGGCTCACACTCTGGAGTGTTGGCTACTTCAGAGGCAGACAACAGGCGACATATTCAACCCATTTTACTTGCTCACACAAAGCCAAACCCCTTAAACACTTAAATAATTTTGACTCTACATCATTGGCTTGACATCTGTGTTGGCAGCATCATTAGCCGTTATCTTCTCATTTCAGCACGCTGCTCTCAGTTCAGCAGAAGAACAGCCAGTTCAAGCATGAAATGTAGGACCCATTCCCTCAGAGTTAATTGGTGATCTCTCACCTATATCTTGTCCCTTTTGCAACCCAAAATAAGTGTGAGTCATAGCCATTTTCATAGCCATTTTCCCCAATGTTTTTAAAGCCTAAATGCAATTCATCTTATTAAGATGCCTTTAAATACACAGTCATTGCAAAATAAAAACTGGAAATAAAACTCACACCCCACTCACATGGAACTCGATAAAAATTTGCATTTGACAATTTGATATCTTACCAGGACTTATGGAGTCACATGAGTTTTTACCACATTGCCATTAGTCATCTGATATACAGTAAAAAGGTTCTAAAGGGTCAATCTTGTGCAGAAGGATTTTAATAAGAGATCAATTCTACTGAAAAAAGCCAAAATAAGAAGACTTATAATGTTTTACTTTGATTTTGCAAGATTTTATGTCACAGTGGCAAGGAAAAGATGAAGATCAATATTTTCAATTGTGTTAACATCCTTATAGATCCATAACAGACAAACAAATCCTAATACAAACTACCATCTTAGACTGCAAAGTCCACAAGCAGTTAAGCGTAAAGCTAAACATAACTGGCTTTTGACTATAAGTGTTTGGATTTTTATGAGAACCAGAAATGAAGCTCAAGCTACAAATATTCATATGAGAAGAAAATGGGTAAAAATAGCGAGCACTAGTTAGGGTAAAAAATCAAGCAGAAAATCAAATCTTATCTACAAATAATTAGTAGTTTTCCCTCAGACTCACGTTACAAAACAATCCACAACAGATGGACTTATTTTTTCATAAATGACTCTAATGTTCAAGAAAGCATAACAGAACACTGTTGCAGATCCTATTATCCTGCTGTAGGAGGCCAAAACGATCGAAGACGCAATTATGCAAGGAAGGCATGTTTCCAGGCCGCCCACGCAATACAAAAATAAAGTAATCAATTCACTTCTTAATGGGGAGAAAGCTTTCATCAGACTGGGCCACTTACCATTGGTCCATGGTGTAAATGAAGACTCACAGTCCCATTATTTTTGCCCTCTGACCCAAGTCTGCTGCTGGGAACAATAAGTGATGGATAAAAATCTTAGCTGTCAGCGACACTTTTGAGAGATCTGGAAACACTTTGCAAGACATGTCTTGAGTCTAATTACCTCTTGGAGAAAACCAAAACAGAGAGAAGAGGTAGCATGAATATAGTTTCTACTATTCATTCATTGAAGGTACACAAAGAAAATATGATATGATGTTTGTGGGGGGAAAAAAATAGACTTTAACACTGGAAGGTTTTGAGGTGATGAACTTGGCTGGTTTTATGTAGACAGAGGGTTTTCGGTCCAGGGAATGTTCCTGCAGTCATTTTCTTGCCAGAAACAAGCCTTAAGAAGTCAAAGAAAACTGTGAAAGACATCCATGAGAGGGAAAAGTAGAGCTAGGGGTTCCCATATTCTCTGTAAAGGTATGATTCATGTCTGTGGAGGCACTGTCCAGTCCCATGAGTTTGTTCAGGCTGACTCAGTCAGGGCTCTTTATGCTCATGATCCCTTACAATCCTTTAAAAATATTCATCCATTTATACTCTTATAGCTAATAGGGTTTCAGGGGGGCTGGAGCCCATCCCAGCTGACAGTGGGCACCCCTGGACTGGTCACTAGTCAGAGGTAATGAGCTGCCAACAGAATGTTTCCATGGACTCAAACTTGACAAACTGTGTGTAAATCAATAGCTACAATGAATGGAAGACTATGAACACATTTATGCATTTAAACAGACTCTTTTACCAAAAAAAACAAAATAAAAACTGACAGGAACACCACAGAATACACCACAGTGTCTTACCCAAAACCACTCCAACATGTGGCCCAGGGAAGCCTGGAGTCAAACCGGCAACCTTCCACTTGGTGGGCAATGTATTCACAAAAGTAACCCATTTGATCACCTTTACTTAAGGAACCTCTTATCTTTGTCATGGGGGGAAAACAATCAGGCAAACTGATTTAATTTGTTGACACTCTCATTAGCTCCTCAGAAACTCTCAACTGTTAATTGAACACTCTGTGTTTCATAAGGAAGGTAATATAAAAACAAGAGAGTGCATGCTCTGTGCAGTAGATGAACAAAAATTACATTAATTTACAAAAATGTTTCAGGGAAACACGGCACAGGCCCATCTTAGATCATGTGCATATCCTGGGAATTCTTGTTGAGGAAAACAACAGTTGAATTTTGAAGGTCACTTGCATCTGGTGAAAAGCCCTGTCAGGAACAAAAAGCTAAATAAGAGCACGCTCTCTGAAGGTCTTTTAAAACTGCGTCTGCAAAGAGCAGTAGATAATACGAGGAGGACTTACAGTGAACTTAGCTGCCATGCTCCCGACTCCTCGGAGTAGAGGATCCTTCTCTAGAAACAGATGAGAGAAGATATTAAAGCCACGACTGATAACTGCCTGTGCATTTTACATCACTATGGACATGTACAAAGAGAAATGAGCTCACTGTGTTTGTTCCATAGCTTTTTTGCCAACAGAACCATGGCCACAAGAAACAAGATGGACGAACACACCACCACAGTAGCCAGCAGGAGGCTGAAACACACACAAAGAGCCGTCAAGGCAGTCCACGTTCATTTAAACACAGTTTTAAAAAAGCTCAGTCTCACCTATGAGTGTTCCAGGACTCCTTAGTGATGGGTTCGGGTGGAAGCAAGTTTGCTATAGACTGACTTGGTGGAGAAGTCACCAACACTGCTGCTGTTTTAATAAAGACAATAAACATCGAGCTGAAAAATGACATCCTGTCACCAGCACTAGTTTGTTTGTGGTGCGTTGTGGAGAACTGACGCTGCACGGCTGCAGACTCGAGAGAGCCTGCTGTACAAACTAAATGCATATTGATTTTTTAAAGCTGCTTCTTCTCATTTCAGCAGCCGCCAAAAAAACGACGGCCTCGAGTAGCCTTGCAATTACAGAACAGGGCTTTCATTCTGCAATGCCCAATTCCAAGTAGATTTCACTGACATTTAGAAATTCTCACAGGCAAGTCTGAAGTTAGTGAAACATTTAGGAAGAAAACCTTTCAAAGGTGCACTGTATTTTGAGTCATTTCCATTTACGCATTAAGCAGATGCTTTCATTCAAAATGGACACATCCACCTGGAGTCAAACCAAGACTTCCCAACTTTCTCAACATTTAAATAAAATTTTTTTTTTTTCAAAGAGAGCATTGAATAGTTGTGTGTATAAGCGCGTACTTGTCTGCTTGTTGAAATGACTGACCAATTCATTTGGCCCATCAGTCCACAGCATCTTCACAAACACCGGAGAAGGTGGCAACCGAATGCACAGATAAATGGGACTTATGTGGCTGGTTATTATCATGACTCATCAGTTTTCATATGATGGCATAGCCAGGTTAAATTCTATACGTACAATTGGAGATTTGTCAAACTGTGATATCAAAATGGGAAACATAACACCAGTGAAGGTGAGACAGCAAACAGCTGCTTTCTGTGTGAGAGTCCCAGTCTGAGCGCATTATAACAGCTATTAACTGCTGGTCGTGAGGCATGAAGATGTCTTCTATTGCCCCAGTGACAGTGGTTAGGGGCTGGCTGTCTTGCTTGCTAGATTCATTCCCTGTGATTTATGGACTGGTGGATCTTGCTTAAAATAAGTCCAGGATTAATGGATACAAGTCTGTACACAGGCAGATTTTCCAAACTGGCTAACAAAGCTCCCTCCCCAGCTACACCCTGTTTAAATATGGTTAAAAGCGCATGCTTTCTACTAACTGAGATGCCAATATCTAATGCTAACCTCAGTTTTGAACAGCAGCTGACAAACCTGTGTGTTACAGTGCATTTTTCCCGGTCTATTGTGGCATTCTGGGGGTCTATTGATCTCGTTATCCAATCTTCTGCCTATCTGGTGTTTCCTGCTGCTGTATTGTGTACAGTTTTAAAAAAATCCATGTGTCTGAATACCTGTATGTATTTGAAAAAAAAAACAGTGTCATGTAATACTGTCCTGTATTCTTCTACTCTTCTGGGATATACGTTCGTAAAACTAAATATTCACTGTCCATAATGACAGACTTTCTCTTGCTCATCATTCTAGCTGCACCTATTCCTGTCAGATTTTTTTGGGCAATCGCCTTATTTTAAAAACTATTAATAGGTTTTTTACAGCTCTCTTGATCTACATCCTAATGTTGGTAGATTATTTACAGGAACATTAGAGAAGCGCTGTGTCCACCTACTGGTTGTGGTTGCTCGCGGTGTGACCAGCACATGGACGGCTATTTTCTGCTGCCCCGCGGAGCACCAGTACCACGCCGTGTCTCTCATCTGCAGCTTCTTAAAGGTGACGGAGAACGTCCCAGATCTGTCGTCTCTGATGGCCAGTGAGGAGTCCTCGTAGCTGCCCTCAGAACCCGTGGACAGGCAGGATCTCCAGTCCCCCGTCCGACACCACGTCTTCTCACTCTCTCTGTAGGAGGGCAGACCATGAATGTTCTCCGTCCACTGTTGCTCAATTTCAATATTAAAGAAAACCCAGAAAAATGTTTTCTAAAGTTTTCTGATGAAGGATCAAGGCCTTTCGAACAGTCGGCGTGTGGTAATGAAACATTAAACAAGCACAGCGATACAATTAGGATCAAAAGGAAATTCAGATACTTGTATTTTTCACTGTAGAGGCATTCAACTGTGACGCTGCTTCCCTCCTCTCCACTCAGCCGGCTGTTCACCGCAGACATACCTGCACAGGTCATCACAAAAATACTGAGTGAGTGGTGTGGTGGTTAGCACTGTCGCCTCCCAGCAAGAGGGTTCGAATCTGGGTTCGAATCCCGAGGGAACCAGGGCCCTTCTGGGTGGAGTTTGCATGTTCTCCCTGTGTCTGCGTGGGTTCTCTCCGGGTTCTCCGGCTTCCTCCCACAGTCCAAAAAAAACCTGCATGTTAGGTTGATTGGAGGTTGGGGAAATTGCCCTTAGGAGTGAATGTGAGTGTGAGTGGTTGTTGGTCCTTGTGTGTCTCTGTGTGGCCCTGCGATGGACTGGTAGACTGTCCAGGGTGTACCCTGCCTCTCGCCCGTTGACCACTGGGATAGGCTCCAGTTCCCCCCACGACCCCAACAGGGAATAAGCGGTATTGATAATGGATGGATGGATGGATGGAGTTCCTTGCAACGGCATGTCATAATAGTAAAAAAAAGAAACAAAAAGCTCTCATTACTCACCGTGGATGACTTTAATGTTTGTGAAGGTGGTGTCATCGGCGTACCAGAAGCCTCCTATCTCTATTCCGCACACGTACCAGCCCGACTCCTCCTCCTTCAGGTGGTTCATGGTCACTGTGAACACCTGTTGGATCGGGTCGTCAAAGATGCTGACCTTCTCCCCGGCCGGGTCTATCGCCCGCAGGTCGTCGGTTCGAGCCAAGCTGGTGCAGAACTCCTTGGTCCTGCCCTGGCACCAGTATTTCACATAGCTGGCATACTGGGGCTCGTAGTGGCACGGGATTTTGAGGGATCGACCCTCCAGGACGGTAAAGGCTTCCTCTGTGGTTACCTTGCAGAGGATGACTAAGAAAGAGGAAATGGTGAACAATCAGCAGTAGTTTGAATGAATTCCAGCACCCCCGCAGCAGAACAAAACATGTCGGGACATTTTATATCTGCTTTGAGGAATCAGGAACGTGGCCTTGACCAAATTCATCATTTCAGTTTCCGTTGTTACACAACAAAGATCCTTTTTTTTTTTTTTTTTTAAACTTCCCTTTCAATCCGTTCTATTCCAAAATTGGATTATCCTTCAACAATGCACAGGATTGTAAAGACTTCACAGGGGGAAAAAAAGAGAGAAAACGTTAAGCATAATGTTGCCAGGGGCCAAGTAGAATGAAAGCTTGGAAGGTTTAATTTAAAAGAAAAAAAAACGACAACAAAAAAAGAACACAAAATCCCTCTCTGGCTTCTGCAGAAAAACAACAGCTTGAACAACCTTTCAAGTAGGTCTACACGAAATGATTACCTCGGCAAAATAATGAAATAGTAAAAGGCAGTGAGGCGTGGAGAGCATCTTGCATTACAGCACAGAACTCACCAAAGGCTCGACAACAGAGTGAGGAGGCACAGGCAGACACATTAATCATCCTTTTTTCCCCCATAAATTATTTGCAGCTGCAAACACTTTTGGGGAAATCTCAGTGGTCATACCTGGGATCCATGGTAACAGACTGAGGGCCACCAGCTGGAACATATTTCAACTTCAGGCTTGAGGTTGATCAACTTGGTTTCTCTGCTTAGCGCAAACACAGAGCCGAGGTTCCGCAATTCCCCCCCCGGTCACGTGACCATAAGTTAGCTCCAGATGTTCCAGATGTTAACCATGTAAATGCCAGTTGGAATTTCACTGCTGGGGTGCGTCTTGCAAACAAAACACAAAGTGGATTAACTGATTAGTTTCGGAAGACAAAACAATTCAGACAAACTGGCCGAAAATGACAATTAAGATGCATTGCTGTGAAACTTTCTCAGTTTATGATTTATATTCTACAGGGTTTTTTTTGTAATCTTTCCAACAGATACTTCGGCCAGATTCAAATAAAACAAAGGAAGGTTTGTTTGTTTTTTTCATTTCCTTGGACCAGTGACAACCAGAATTTAAAAAAATAAAAAAAGATTCTTTACTTTTTCCTTCTTTTAGTATTTCATACCTTAACAAAACATTAGGGTTGGTTTATATAGGTTCACTTCCTGTGATCTGTGATGTGAGTGAGTATAGTCAGTGAAAAATGGGCTCTGCCAAATGGTTGAGCAGGATGTTAAAGGGCTCAAGTCTGTTCCCCGTCTTTTGTTGTTGGGGATAAAATGTTTTCCATCGTCATCCATTTTCTAGAAATTCAAAAATTGCATGTTTTGTCGCCTTAGCTCCTAATGTCCACACTCTTAAATTCCTCTCAGCTCTGGGGACTGTTTTGTGTTTGTGTTTGTTGCATAAGTAGTTTTGCTTGTATTTAGTGAACTCTGCCTTTGTCTGTCAGCTCCTGCAGAGAAAATTGCCTTATTTTAGGGCACTCTCAGCTCTGAATAATCTTAAATCAATCCTGCCTTCTGATGGGCCACGCAAAGTGGTACGACGTTGCCTCCTAATGTCTGCTTTTATAAGTGTAATATTCATTTTCTTTGGAGAAATACGCCCTCCATGCAGATAAGGACTCATCTTTGGCTTCACTTTTTCCAGAATTGTACTTGATTACATGTGTGTTCTTAAAAAAGCAACAGCAATGTAATGATATACAGAAATTGAAACAACTGATATTAAAACGACTGAACCGATTAATGTGGTAATTAATAGCTCATTACTCACCAGGTAGTGTGCGCATGAGGTGCCATTAAAGGTGAAATACGTCAGTTCTCTCCGAGGAAAATACAGCCAAATGATTTATTTCCTGTTCTTTTCTTTTCTTCCCTTTAATCTATGGGCTCCATGCCTCAGCACTCTCAGTTTCACACCACAGAACGGATCACCGGCAGGTTTCACCACCGATGGTTACACCAGAATTGAGGAAACTGTGTGGCAGATAAATCCCTTTTTCAATACAACAAACCCCCCAACGGCAGTGGTTAAAAGCCAAGTGGAGCCCGCTCCCCAGCAGCCTGCAGATGACTTATGGAGAAGGATATTTAAAACTGTCCGCCGATGTTCATCAGCCGTAAAAGAATCGCATTAATGTCAGCTATAAATCTCCACATTTGTGGGGTTCTTTTGTTTGTTTTTATTATAGAATGGATGCCGGTTTGCAGAGCCGTTGATATCAACAGTCCATAGACACCCACAGGACAGAGAAAAAGTGGGCTGAGGCATTGAAGAGAAATGCACACCTGCTGCTGGACTTAAGCTGCTGTGGCTCAGCTTTTTTCCTCCGTAACCATCTGGACATTAGATTTCTCCACAGAGTAACCTTAGAAAGAATATTTCTCTTTGCAATAATCAGCGATTAAACAAAACATCAAAACTAGCTAATGTGGCATTGAATGTGTGTACAGTTGGCACTATAATTTTACAGACACATCTTAACTTTAAAAAACCTGTCCAACTAACGCTCAGATTCTCATCCTAGGAATATCTGGGTTACATGAAGAGTGCATGATGTTTTTGAAAACATAAAAGTCAATAACTTTGGCAGAGATAATTACACTTGTTTTATTTTTGCATCAGTGCAAAGACGGAATGCTTTACAAATTTTCACGTAAAAAAGAAAAAACAAAAAGATTTTTTAACTATTTTATCCATTAGAAAATTGTACTGCATCATATGCAAGACGATGCATCTCATTCGATTCTGATGGCAGAAAAAACTGGTGGCATCCTGTCTTGTGGGGGACTTAGAACAGCTTCTCTTGGCTGATCTGGAAGGGAAAAAGGAAGCAGCAGTGTTTCAGTTATTGATGTCAGACATTAAAAAAAGCATAATAGATGCCAGACAACATCAAGAGCAGTGCAAAAAAAATTTAAATCAACAGAAATGTTTGCAAAAGCATCTTATTGTAAGTAGCTTTGGATAAATGGTTCTGCTAAATGCATAAATATAAATGCATAAACATAAAATAAGCAACATCTGGAATTTTGTCAGAAGCATTAGAGCAGTAGTTTGTTTCTATTTGAACAAAAGTCAGCTCAAAATACCTGATCCCCAAAACAACATAAATGCATTTCCGCTTATGTTCCCTTGAAGACCTTAACATTTTGTATTCCTCAGAGCCACTGGCAGCATTTCTGAAAACACACCGGCTTCACAAACACCGGTTCCCTGATGCAGTGGGAGGACACGGCAATCAGCATGAGAAACGATAAAAACATTGAAAAGCAAAAGCCACAGAAGTGTCTGGTGTTTCTAACCCCTCTGTGAATGGATCCATTCAGCTGCCTTGTTCTCAGAGCATGAAACGACAAAAATCCCCCCTTTAAACCCCCCTGAAGTAAAGACTGGAACACGGCAAATACACACATCTCAGAAGTCGGGGGAATATGTGACTGCCACGCACATCCGTTTCAGCCGATGAAGTTCATCACAACGAGGTGGAGGACGGTGTGAGCGAACAAGAAGTCGGCGAAAGCTCTCTCAGGGGAAATGGACAAAAAGTCTCCTTTGTTCTGAGGGTTGATCTGGATGCGAAGACACACTAAAAGGAAAAAAAAACAAAAAAACAAAGACAGATTGACAAAAATTCCTTTTCTTTCTATCATGTATGTTCATTTTGTACTTTAATAATTACAAATGTATCTTTTTTTTTCTCCCTTTCTATAAAGCTGGCTCTGCTTTTATTAAATCAAAGGTGCTCCACTGCAAGCATTTTCCTTTCACATTGTTTTTTGACAGCTAAATAACGAATATCTCCATTCTGTCCAGCCAGTGTTTCCTCTTTACAGAGCCTCTCAGACTACACAGTCTTGGACAGCATGTGATGACAGATCATCAGCCACAGGGAACTTGGCTCATAGCTGCACATAAACCACTTTCTCCACTGGCTGCAGGTTCTGGCTGGACAGTTTGTCCCGGCATCAGTGATCATCCCACCGAGCAAAAGAAGGATTTCTGTGGCCAGCTGCACTCTGCGCTGAGTTACAGGCAATCCTCAAGAGAAAGCCAGGAGAAAAGGAGAACACTGGTGCAGAGTCAGAACTTAGACAAATGAATACTTGCTTTAGTTTTATAGAGTTCCATCAGTGTAAATATGAATTGTGCATTTCCCAAAAACCCTCTAGTCAAAAGGAAAGGGGGCATTTAGAATGCCAGTCAAAGGATTCCAGTAAAGGTCCACGAAAAATTCGTTCTCAAACATTTACTTGTAAAAAATATTTGGCTGGTTGATCGAAGCGGGGCCGAACAGTTTGTGACAGTTACAACTAGAATTGACACTTCCGGTGGCAGCCATCTACATTAGAGACGTTTAATAGACACATTTAAGTGTGGATGAAGATCCACTGAAATGAATATATACACTATTAGCCGTTTGTTAGCCGTCCCGCTAACACGCATGTTCAACAACAAATATAATCATTGCAATGATACCATGGGGTATTTTTGTTTATTCTGCTAAGAAACATTTTAGCACTTAAAAAAAAATTAAAGAACAACATTTTTTAAAAGGGCTATTTTGCACATAAAAAACGAATTGCAAAGAACAGGTTCGAGTGCAAGACACGCAGGTGTATTTAATATTTTCCTTAAAATCTTTACTTCGTTGGTATTAAACTAAAATACTGTTGCCGAGACATACTAGTGAATGTGTACTTATTAATAATAAACTATCTATAAAAACAGCCGTATTCATTGAAAAATAAAAATTCACGTCATCGTTTATTTTAGCTTGGCTAGCTAGCTTGCGTCTGCACGCAGGCTCCACGAGCACAAACGATTTTACTGAAAGAATGTCGTTAACTGAAGGTTCTTGTAATTCATTGCATCTTACATAAGTTTTGTATTTACCTGCGAGAATGAAGGAGCCCACACATGAGATGAAGCCCGACAGAAAACTATTGAATGGGAAGGTTCCGACGAGGAGACAGTAGAGGAACTGCAGAGCTCCGGTTAACAAGATGTACAGCAAATATGCGTCCACCACCTTCAGCTTGTTCGGCGTTGTGGAGGTGTACTCTTCCAGGAACCGAGAAATAACCGACAGGACCGAGTTCGACATGATTTCTCGCGTCTGATTTTTAAAACAAACCAGGGGAAGATAGGAGTTTTTCACAGTTCCTGTGTGCCTCAGTCGAATGAGTGACGTGTCCTCGTCAACCGGAAGCTACCGCGGTGTTACACCGCAAATGTTCCGAGTAGATCGGAACCACCAACAAGAGGCCTTGGGTAACTCCCACCGTAGAGCACAGAGGTTCAAATTAAAGACAGAGAATTAACTCTGGCAGAAATTCTAGTGACACTTTTATAGTGTTTTTTCTTTAACGTAATTGACGTTGAAAATTTTCCAGCCTATGGGACATAGATCTAAGAATAGGCCATTTGCTATGTAACGTATTTTTCGAAGTGATAAACCATATAATCATTTCTTTATTTTTTGCGTACAAGCCATGCATTTAGACTAGAGACGATCTTTGTTTACGATCAGCTGACGTAGGAATGCACGGGTTACAAAACATAAGAAACTAGCACACACATTGATATAATTGCTTGACAGGCCTTGGCAAGGGCGCTAAAACATTGTCCCAACTGAATGTAGTTTCCAGAATATGAATACAAATGGATCCCGCTGCGACCACAGCTCCTTTGCAGAACGACTGTGAAACCGAGTGAGTAACTTCCTGAGATACAGTACAGTTTGGGTTTGCTTACATCATGCTGTGTTATTGAACAACAAATCAACGAAGAAATGATAAATGGAAACATGTATTGTGTATATACAGAGTACAATATAGCAGATCTTTGTCATTGAACTTTACCTGATTTTTATCGACTGAACACAAGATGAACGCTCTTATTATCTTTTAGAGACCTTGATAAACGTGAAACTGGTTAAGTTCCTTAACACATACAAGAGTTGTCATCCGAATAAACAGTAATATAAAAGCAAAACCGCTTTTGCATTTAATAAAGATAGGAGACAAATGGGATGAAATAAAAGAGATGTTGTCTTTTACTGGCTGTATTACATAACCAGTTAAACAACCAGTACCTTTAAAGGGTGACATTCTTTGTTTATTTGCTATTAAACTAGATTTTATGTTGTCCTATATAATTGCAATTCAATTACTTTTGGTGGATCAGCTGTGAGCAGCACTAATCATCATTAAGTGACTCAGCAAAACTGAGGTCTATTGTTGATTGCTGAACAGGTGACAACATGTACCTGCCTGTTGACAGGAAGTGGAAATGTGAAACCGGGACATCTAGGATCTGTAGGCAGGTTCAGGAAGCACATAATGAGCCCAGTTTAGTGTACCTTACCCACTTTCTGTGTTTCAGGTTGGAAAGTAAGAAACTTGGGTAAGACACTGTTGAGTTGTTATGTAATGAATACTAACATGAGGTCATAAGTACCCACAGTGTGTATATGCCGCTCCTTCACTGCTGTGGGCTCGGCGTTTGGTTTACAGCATTATGGCTTTGAAATGTGACTCCTCGCTGTGTAGCTTTTGTGTGTGCCCAATGCAAATAACGATAAGTTTGACTGCACTTGCCTTAACCTTGCAATAGCGACACAGGAATTGGCTACAATGTTTCAGCTTGTGCCGAACAAATCAGTCATTATCCGCTGTCTTCTTCTTTTTATACGTCTCTCTTTCTATTCTTATTTTAATCAGGTCCAATTCAGTGTGGAGCTGGTGGCCGTCCTGGCGTCCAACCTCTATGTCCCTGCTGAAAACCACTGAGTCCAAGATTCTGGCCTGTAAGACAGCCTTGACTTAAAGGGCACTGGGTGATTACATAACCACTGTGAACTAATTTAGGATTTTGGCTCACTCCTCCATTACTTATTATAACAGGTATTCAGAATGACCTGTGGGCCCGGTTTGTGACCCTTCCGAACCAGGACAAAATATGGACTCTAACTCTTACCAACAAGGTCGTTCGCAAATCTGCAGAGCAAGGTACCAGTTCTTAACTCTTGTTTCAGCCTTTGTTTTTTATTGAGGTGCAACAAGTGTGATCCTACAGAGGCTTAGAGGCTTTGAGTATGCATGATGATATAAGTAAAACAAGCTATTTTTGTTTTTTTATTTGTCTAGGACCTAAGACCCCCCTGGTTATGGTCCATGGTTTCGGAGGAGGAGTCGGACTTTGGATCAGAAACCTGGACGCACTGAGCCGCTCACGACCCGTTTACGCCTTTGATCTATTGGGTTTTGGCAGAAGTTCCAGACCATACTTTCCCTCAGATGCTATCAAGGCAGAGGAGCAGTTTGTTGACTCTATAGAACAATGGAGAAAATCTGTAGGTCTGGAGAGCATGATTCTGCTGGGACACAGTCTTGGGGGATACCTGGCTACCTCATATGCCATCCAGTACCCCTCTAGGTAAAAACACATATCAGATACAAACCACATGATAACTACAGCAAAATGGAAAACCGTAGGCTCAGAGCTCTGTAACTACAATTTTGATGTTTTGTTTGGACAAGGATTAAGTTATTTAAATCTTTTTTTTTTACATGGATGTGTTTGCTGCAATGTAAAAAGCCACAGCATGAAAGATGAATGTCCGTATCGCCATGCCAACCAAAGACTCACACTGAAATAGCTCACTGAGGGGATAGTTGTGGTGGCATTGCAATGTGATTCTCTTTCGAAAGCACTTGGTATCTTCTAGGTGGACAATACTAGTGACACATGAAGGGTTTAATGTCCACTGATCGTAGTGTCCTGTCATCTCCTGCCAGGGTGTCACACCTTATCCTGGTGGACCCCTGGGGCTTTCCCGAGCGACCCCAGGCTCAGACACAGACCCAGGATGGTCAGAGCTCAGAGATGGCAAAGAGGCCATCTCCCCCCCGATGGGTGAAAGCCATCGCGGCAGTTTTCTCCCTCTTCAACCCGCTGGCTGTCATTAGAGCAGCAGGCCCATGGGGTAAGAGATGGAAGGCTCCGTCTGCTGTTGTGCTGCTATGTATTAGAGGCTCTTCCATCATCTCACGGTGTGTTGTTTATTCAGGGCCGGGGTTGGTGAACAGATTCCGTCCTGATTTCAAAAGAAAATTTGAGGATCTGTTTGATGATGACACAATGACACAGTACATCTACCACTGTAATGCTCAAACCCCAAGGTATGTCCAAAACCACATCTTCCAGAACCTAATTTGTGGCAACATGCTGGAAAAAAGGGGACATTTTCTCTCTTTTCCCGTTACTTTACCAGTGGTGAGGTGGGTTTCCGGGCCATGTCAGAGTCTCTAGGCTGGGCCAAGAGGCCCATGCTGCAGCGGGTTAGTCTACTGCCTCCCTCCATGCCTGTAACAATGCTGTATGGGGCTCGGTCCTGGGTGAGCAGCTCATCTGGGGACCTGATGGCCGAGTTGAGGAAAGAGGCTCACACCAAAGTGATGGTTAGTGGAGTCACAAGCTTTTTACCAGAAACACTTAAAACATCGAGCGGTATGCATTCACTAATTAATTTATCTCTTTCTCTGTTCCATATTGTAGCTAATTGATGACGCTTCGCACCATGTTTATGCCGATCAACCGGAAGAGTTCAACAAAGTGGTGAATGATATATGTAAATCTGCAGACTGAGCACGGACCTGTGTGGGTCTGCACGGACTGAAATAAATGTAAAAAGACAATTCACTATGGTGGTTTTAACCCTGTGACCTTTGCATGTTAAGCATGCTAAATAATGTTGCTTTGAAATATCCGTAGACATCATAGGTTTGCGGCAATTATATTGTTGATAGTGCTGCAAATATATGTTCACTGTTATTTGTTAGCCAATGAGATATTATTAAGTACATATATTTATACTGTTTGTTGTATTTTTGTCCACATGAAGGATTAGCCAAACCACATTTTCAAGTGCAAAAATGATGATGTATTAGCTCACTTCTTTAATGACATAAAGTGAAACATTCAGAATGCACTGGCTTTATTTATCACAGAAGCCTCATAGCCACTGATTCATTCTTTAACATGTGCCTGATGCCGTCTATTTTTTGTTGCCCTTGTCCGTCTTTTATCACTGTATCATACAGCTCGTCTGTTTTTTGTACCTTTTCAAAGAATAAATATGTTTGTTGGACGAAACATCCGCCTGTGATGCAACTGCCACAGGTGGCAGTTATAATCCAGCCAGTAGAGGGCAGCATCGAGCGCAATTTCTGATGAGTTCTTCCATTCTGTCCCTGCCCCGTTAGTGAAAGGGAGCGCCAAGGCCACGTTTGGAATGAGTTTACAAGAAGGTCATGTACTTTAAAACCTGCATGCTGTATACAGAAATGGATATAGGTTTAAAATTTGACTTAAAAAATATTAAATCTTGCAATGAATGGCTTGGCATTGGAAATCCCACCCTACTGCACTCTGGTTGAAGGAATGTCATACTGCACCTACAGTCTCACGTAGGGGGGGAAGGGGTGTCCATCACTGATGTTATTTTTGCTTACTCACCCATCTCAAGGTCCAGATGTCAAAACAGTGGTGGTGTTGATGGTGGAGTCCTGCAGTTTTAAAGTACAAATCCACATCCATGCATTGCTGGCTTGCTGTTTCTTTGATCGCATAGTGCACGTAGGATGAAACACTGGGTCAGCTTATCAGAAGTACATTCTTTGGGTATCTGTGCACTGTCGATATAAAAAACACCTGCAAGATTTTACACACAAAAAGTTTTTGCAAGCGGAGGGAAATCAATATGAGAGAGGGGAGGGTTAGTGATAAGAGACACAGTCAAAAGACGAGATGAAAGGAACCTCATCAACTTCACAGAACCCAGGGACGTTTTATCCAGGAGGAGCAAAAGAGAGGCCAGTGTTGATGCCGGGGCTTCAAACAATGAGAGACATGACAAAAACTCCATCTCCTGTGCCAGGACTGCAGAGAGAAAGGCCAACAATGATGGCAGAGGTCCAAAGAAAAAAAGCAGATGTGCCCTCCTGCCACAGAAGTGGAAGATGTTTCTGTTGAGATAAAAAAAAAAAAGTAATACTTCAGCTGTCTGTCATCCAGAAGTACTAATGATTGCATGTACTCTGATTTCTGCAACTGTCTAATGGGGAGTTATTCAATCAGTGCAGAGCAGGCTGTGATGTTTAAAATCAAAGTCTATAATCATTTTTTGGTAAAAACAATCAAGCGCAAGTTTATATTCGTTTCACCAAATATCTAATAAAGGTGCTTTTAGTCACACATTTATCTACATGCTTATGTTACCACGTAACCAGGAGCACTTTTTTCCTCAGTACTGAGAGATCAAAATGGCTACAACATATTTCATACAGAACAAGATTCAGAAAAGCTGTATTTGCAGCAGGGAGTACTTACAGGTCTCCACAAAACTGTATGACACACATCCTACAATTCTTTGTGTCTCCTTTGAACATTTAATCTCCTCTTCTACCTCCATTACACATGTATGTAGACAGGAACACCATAAAGGTTGCCATTCAGAAGAGGTTACAGAGCTGCTCTCACCCTCATACCAACCAGCCCTTCAACCATCTCAACAGTTAGGGGTCAAGATTCGGTAAAGTTCCTCCGACTGTAAAGAGAATTCACAGTTCCGCAGCCTTACTCTCCCATTCAGGACGGCAGCACAGACCGCCTCTTTCACAGAGAATACAACGGGACATAGACTATGCATGACGCCCTTTCTGTGCTTGTAATTGAATTCGCTCAGTTTTCTGTTCCCAACCTCCTAAAGCAGGATGCAAATCCAGTTCTGAGGGGGCTGCTATCCTGAGGTTTTAGATGGTTCCCTGCTTCAACACATATGATTAAAAATTCCTATTTGATTTACTTGGCAGAGGATGCGATCTTAAAAATGCACTTGTGATCTTGCACGTTTATACTAGTTTAGAAGAAAATAAATCTTGAGGACAGGTCCAGAAGGTGTCTCAAGGAGATAATGAAACCACTTCATGGGGCTCCTTTCCTTTAACTGAAGGCTGAGCACCTCACTCTCTTCGATAGGTGACACTTTTCCAAGGAAGCCCATATTATGCCGATAACCTCATAAAATGAGCTTATCAACAGTGTTGACTTTAAACCGGGGCTGACCTTTGATTATGACAGACCGACTCAAGGTCCTGTGATGGACTGGCAAATAATAGATGGATGGATCATTCAAGGTCTGTGTCACTACAGTGCCTTTCCATTTCCAGCTCCATCCAGCCTAAACTCATGAACGGGATCCAGAGGGACCATATCCTCACCACTTGAGGTAGCCACATATTTCCAACTCATCAGAAGGCATATCACCTTTCCTAAACAGAGGAATATGGTTCTCTGAGGTGGAGGTGCCAAATATCCTTGCGGATGCTACACAAACTGCCTGTTAACCACCTCAGAGCATTTCTGAAGAATGTCTCAGCCAACTGAACTGGAAACCCTCTGGCGCTTGGTTACACTTATCAACTTGTTAATTAAATTCATAAAAAGAAAAACAGACACTAAAGCATATTGAGGAACATAATTAAACTTCTTATCATTCGGAAAATTAAAAACTGGTAAATGGGCCCAATTTGTTTGTCATTTGCTGTTTAAATTATTTTTCTTGCACACACTAAATAGCTGCCATTTCTCTCTCTAACCCACACACTGAGGTCTACACCACCTTGTTTACATGTAACAGAATGGGACTGCGTGAAGCCCTAACAAACCTCCATATGACATTAAATAGCCTCTTCAGCTCACCACAAGCTATCACCCAATATGAAGGGAAGAGCTAACATATTTTGTCTCTTGGTATTCATTTTCTATTAATGAATACCAAAAACTAAAGGTTTTATTTCTGTAATGCTGTTCGCTTTTATTTTTAGTCACTTTTCTGGATCCCGTGTCACACCTGGTTTCATTTGCTCATTATCTCACCTGTCTTCCATTAATTAATTAACCCTCTGAGTTTCAGTTCTTCATCCGGACAATTTTTTTTTCTCTTTTTAGTTTAAAAAGTTTCTCACCTCTGTCCTGTAACACATGCATTCTGGGTCTTTATCCTCCTGGTCCACATGCTTTCTTGGTTTGAGGGCTGACCAAAGGAAATAATGGCTGACCAAGCCACCTTAGGGGGTTAAGAAAATCCAACATTAGAAAAAAACACAGTAATGATGTGATAATTTTTCTCCCCGTTCATCTATATCCACTGTGTAATCAAAACAATAAAAGTGAGGTTATGGCCTCAAGGCCATAAATGAAAAGAAATTGATATTTTTCTGGGTGAAGCAAGGACTACATGATTTATGTTTTTATCTTAGAGTCAATGAATAAATGGAGAGGAGCAATAAACTGTGAAGGAGAGCTGGATACAGTATTCAAAAGGCTTGAGATGTTGGTGGCTGCCTCTGTGCCGTCTCCTTGACGCTGCTGTAAAAGCATCAGTCATCTTTAATGACGACATGCAGGGAAGGTGTGTTTCCTGCCTCTACACGCATAGCCGGGACTAGTCATTGTTGAGTCATTCTTTTCTCAGAACACTGTAAACAAATCACAGTGGTTAGATTGCTGAAATGGAAAGATACATTTGTTTTCTGCTTTTCTTGACTCCCCCACCATTATACAAAGTCAGATATTGACAAAAGTGGTAACATTTCAGTGAGTTTTATTACCGACTGAAACATACATGATACAAAACATTCAGGGTAACTAAGATAGATAAATACTGTGATGGTTATACATCATTTTCTTCACATTATACGCAGACTGCTGATGTTGAAGACACCAGAAATAGAAAAAGCCAAAAGAAGGCCACTTTTGTCTCAGACCATGTACAGTAAAGGTGTCATCTGTGTTAACAGAAACAGAGTTTAAAGAAAGAAACACACATCAAAATCACAGCAGTGTCCTGAGGGAAGCTTCCTACATTTTGCCAACAAAGGTTTTTTTCTGTTTGTTTTTTGGGCACAAACTTCTTGATTTATGACCTGACGTTCAGTTTCACCAAACATCCAGCCACGTATAGTTCTTAATATTAAAATTTTACGTGTTTCCTGATCACCAAACAACAGTTTTAAACCATTTAAAATTCAATAGTTTTAAAGAGTTCAATCGAATAGGGATGAAAATGTAATCAGAAAAGTAATCAGAATCAGAATATCAAAAGAGAAAATATCCATTTGAACATCATTCCCTTAGCAGACATTTCTCAGTGCCCTCCCTTCATCAAAGCCATGTGAGGTTCATTTTGTCCGTACTTTTCACATTACGATATGCTAAATGAGCAACACACACACAGTATGTACAATATGACTTTGCACCTTCATATTATTTGTTCGGTGTCCTCAATCGCACAAATATCAGAGGTTTTACAACCAATAGTGTTCGTTAACTGAGGGGTTTTAGTTGCTCTGCATGCATTAACCATAAATACTGTTGCTTCTTTCACTTAATAACTCAGAAGGGTTAATTCATACAATTTTATGACTTAAAAAATACTACAGTTGCATTATTATGTATTATGTGTCATAGTTTTAGCATATCAAAAAAGTCTTCTTTTCCTCAAATACAAAAACAGTCTGACCAAGTTACAGGGACTTAACATAATGCATCATTAAAATCTCTCCACCCGTTTTTTTCTGAAAAAAACTGATGTGAGCTGATCTAAACCCTCTTTTTCTTATTGCTGAGTGACAACAATGTCCGCCACTCCGTGCACGTGTGTGAGCTGTTTACAATCCAGCGAAGCCACAAGCTTCCTGGGTCCCGGCTGGCTGGGAACGAAGTGCTCGGTCAGTGTCACTGTTGAGTGACCGCCAACATCTCTGAAAGAGGCAACGGGGAGTGAAACGTTAGTCTGAGGAAGAAAAACCTGCGGGGAACAGATATGGTGGTTGGAAAGAAGAAAGAGGTGCTGTTACCCGACGACCACTTCATGGCCCTTCTGAAGACCCAAGCCTTCCACTCTGAACACCACATCCTTCAGAGTGCGTGGCAGCGGGTTGGTGAATGTAATCTTGGCGGCCATTTCCTTCCCAACCACAGCATCTCCCAGAGGCTGTCCATTTAAAGAGAAGGTCAAAAGTAACTCAAATTCATTTTTGCACGAAATCATGTCCACTTCATCCAAAAACAAAGTCATTGAACGTTACCTTGATGCTCAGGTCGGGCGTGCGGAGCCTGAAGGTTGTCTGGTTGGCTAACACTTGCTGTGTCTCGGTGACTCTTCCAGAGAGCGTTAGCATCAGCGCCGCCTGGTCCACCAACTGGTCCTGGTACTGCTGGTATGGCAGCACCCAGTCAATGGTCTTTTCTGTGTGCAGAATTAGAAAGGGAGGGTTTTGAAAAGGGAACAATTCAACATTCACTGATGTTCAGACATTTTTTCCTCTTGCATTAAAGCATTCTTTCCAGTATTCTCTAAATACAGGTTTTATGTACAATGGGAAATCTTTTTTCTCCACCACTCCTTTATCTACTAATAAATCCATTCAATTCCAGTTAACTATTAAACTTGAATAGACTCCCATTAGAACATTTTAGCTTTAGAAACTATCTTAAACCTAAACAATTAAACTTCAGAGCCACACCTCCATGAGATAAAAAATAATAATAAAAAAGACTTGTTTACATGATGACAGGTTTAACAATATTACTATACTGCAATTATGACTTCATTTGTCTTGCCAGTTTCCAAAAGTTGATATTTGTCCACAACTCGACTTTCAATTTATTTTGTAATGACCATTTGTTGGTGATAGTTAAAAAAAGTAACAGAAAAAAGTGGAACAGCATATACGCACATATGTATTTATGGCAAAAAGGGGCACTAACCTTCATTGGGTAAGAGGTCCACAGGGATCTGGTCCTTCTTGATGGCATTCCTCAGCACCCCGGTGTAGTACATGACGGCCACCTGGCTGTGGAGGGTGGCCCGGCGGGGCTGGGAGCTCAGGTTCTTCACCAGAATGCTCAGCTGGGCGTCGTTGCCCATCCTGGGTCCCTCGCCCTCCATTCTAACCTCCACACTCACATCCTCTGCTGCAGGGGCAGAGTATATGTACGGCTTGCTGCCATAGCGACTGGCGGTCTCCACGGCAATACGTTCCTCCTCTGACTCTGTGGAGAAGAAAAAGGATTCTTTCATTCTGTCTAAGGACTCACGATTTATGGCAAAAAAAAACAAACAAGAAATTTGGCACAGAGCCCTTTCAACTAAAACAAACAGAGGAAGTTTAAATATATAGTAAAGAAGAACTGAGCAGTTAAGGGGAGGCTGGGGAATATGTGCAAAGCAAAAGGATGTGAGCAGAATGCTGGGATTTAAACATCTCTTTTTTTGGATAGTTCCAGGAAGTTCAGAAGCTATTTTGTCTGGCTCTGGGACATAAATCCAATTTGTCAGTACCTTCTTGATGTTTGTAGAGGTGGGTGATGTCCTCCCGTGTCTCAGAGCCCACTGCTTTGGTGCTAATGCAGTGGCCCACAGCTTTCTTTTCACTGTGGATCTGTTTGAACGTACCATCCAGGTTCTTCTGCCAGTAGATTTTGTCACTGTTGACCTGTTGATCAGTTTTTATCATAGTTACAGACCAAACAATGTGCAATTCCATTCCATTATAGCACTGTAGGTAACCTGGTAAAGGAAAATCTAAGCACTAGGTTTTTCCAGATTAAAAGATGATGTGTAAATCCGACCTAATGGTAGCCTATAATCATGGAGATTTCCAGTTAGACGTTTCTAGCGCTCACCTCGGCAAAGACGAAGGGCGTGTCGTGTTTGAGGAAGACCTGACCGGAGCGGATGGCGTTTACGGAGGCCGGGCCGCAGCGGAAGGTGCCCTGGCTGGTCTCCTGGGGCGTGGAGTCTACAGCCTGCCAACCCCCATAACCAGGAGGCAGGTCTGGTCTGGCCATCCAGCAATCATTCCAAACATGGAAATTCCTGAAGGTAAATAGGAATAGTTTTTTTTTTTGTGTGTGTGTGTGTGTATTTTTATAGATAATTTTAGGTTTCATACATGCTGTCATTTTGCTATTTAAAAGAAAGAACAGGCACCACTTGTATATTTGCCCTGTGAATAGGACATTGTTGCTAGCTGTTTCTCTTTTTAAACATTAGTTAGTTTGAAAATACAAAGTGTTCCATTCAAAACTTGTTTTATATCATATATTTGTAGATGGACTTTTTTATAGCTTTCAGTGAATGAGGTTTGTTACTGAAAAGTACAGGTCGCAGTTTTAAAATTCAGCTAAATAATTTACACAACAAGCAGGAAAATGTGATATTTCACAGCAGCCACTTTTTGAAAAGCAACCGCTTCTTATTCGCTGATAAATAGTTCATAAAAAACCAAAGCCGTGGAGAAGTGGCACTCATACTGTCTGCAGGCACACGGAGATCCTCATAACTGAAGGCACATGATTTATCTGTGGTTTTAAGTTAGACGGGAGTGTTTTTGCTCTTGAAAATACAGCACATTCAAGTATTCTTAATGGAGCAGAGCCCTGGTTTCACATCTCACCAAATAGAGTCGCTGTTGAGGTAGTCAATTGGCTGCATGTCCTCATCGAAATACACGTCTGTGGACAGGGACACGTCAGTGTCGTGGGCAGACTGGAAGTTGGTCACACTGCGGGCTGGGATGCCAAGACAGCGCAGAACTGACAAAAAAAGACACGCAAAGTTAGACAGATCCAAACTGCATTTGCATGGAAATCTATTAATTGATTTGATAGTAACATTCCTGCAGACGTGTCAGGGTGAACGTGATAAATCTGGGTGAAGGAAAGCAACACATGCAGTTGTGCTTGTGACAAAAGTAGCAGGTATGATAGGAATGCCACTGCGAGGTATTCAGGGTGTATATATATGAGCCACGGCTCGCTATGAGGGGTAATGCTATGCTCTAAAGTCAGCTAACTATCATGTGAGAGGTTCCCTGAATACACAATGAGGTGTTCTGTAACAGAGTTCCAGTGAGAGCAAATGAAAAAGGCCTGATGGGATCATAATTACTGGCGGATTGTTAATTGAGTTTAGGAGGAGCTGGGGACCACTTTTAGGCATCTGTGGCTTCTTCACATGCAAACACGCACAGAGCAAATAGTAAAAAGTAAGCGATTTTCACTATTTACTGTAATAACGGAATTCCAGCTTTTAATGAAAGCTAAAGTCTTCTAAAAATATCACATAATGACATGAAAATCTGGACTTTGATGACTTTGTCCGAGCCCGTTGCTTCTCCTGGTTTAAGTTTTTGTTTTTCTGCCTCACACTAACCTGTTGTAGTGATCCCAGAGAAGACCCAGCACTGTCCATAACACACAGGTGTTCCATTAGAGGAGTGGTATTTCCTCAGGATCTCCACGCTGCTGCTCCAGGCTGCGGGAGAGGTGCCGTCAGAGTAGTCCCCTGACCAGTTCCCAACCAGAACGCCAAAGTCATCCTGCGCGTTTATCTGGAAAGTGACAGAGTCACACAGTCCTGGTTAGAAGCTCCTGATTCCAAGTCACCACATATCTCTTTTTCTTCTCGTTCTATACGGGAGGAATTCTCACCATGGCAGAGATGACTCTGACCACATTGACAGGATCCCCACGACCAGATGGGGGAATGTCACTCTTCTCCAGGATGAAAAGGCATGCTTCCAGGATTCCTTCATGGAACTGAAACAAAGAAAAGCAGTGATTTGTTTGATGGTTCACTATTTAACTGAATTTTTTTTTTTTTTACTTTTGTTTTTCTTTTACATTAGCTGCTTTTCCTAACTGATTTAATCCCATCTTTTTTCTAAATGAACTCAATTAATTGTTATCTCTACACAGTGTTGATGAATATCTTTTGGGATCTTTTTTCCCATTTCTTTCTTTAGCTGTATTGACAAAAAAACTAAATTAAATGGCCGGAATGAAACACAAGGCAGCCCACATCCAATGATGATCATTGGGATGGGCTGCCTGAAGCCTGGAGAATTATTTCCTACTTAAAGACATTCATATAAAGCTTGTATAGGAGAGTTAATGAATGAATAATAATGATCACTATTATTGATGTTGACATTGTCTTTCACCGAGGCAAACGTGCATCACTTTCCACTTCTCACACTTTGCCTGTACCTGCCCAAAGTTCCACGTGCGCGCTCCGATTTGTTTCTCTGTGCCGTAATAGATCCGCCCGGTGTCATTCAGTACGTACTCCTTCCTCTGCTCCTCATCATCCAGGAACACCGTGTCCTCTGAAAATGCACAAGACATCTCATAAACATCCTTGGTAAATGTTTCTTTCACTCAGCATCACACAGGGAAAAACGAAGCTCTCCGTGTGATGCATTCAGGTATTCTCCAGTTTTCACAATTTTTCTTTAGTACTTTCATAGCATTGTATATAAAAAAATGTAGGCAAATTACAATAATGTTAACAAGGATTCAAATCTTTCATGTTGTTTATTTTTTCAACTTGAACTCATTAAGATGTTCATTGAATCCCTTTGAAAAGAACCCAGAAACTCAACCCAAAAAAAGAAAAAAAACGGTGACTGAACCACAAAAGAATGCGTGTTTTTTTCCTCACAAATGTGAACAAGTCCCCAAGGTCAGGAAATGGTTAAGAAACACAATGAGTCCAAGGATTTGCTGTGAGGCCCTCAGTCATTTAAAGGAAGTCTGTTTAGAGAGAAATCAGAACTACAGTTTTGGGCGTGGACCTTTCACATGAGCTTTGAAAATCAGTGTATTTCTTTTTCCATCCTGTTTATCTCTGGCTATCACCAGCATGGACGCCTGCATGTGGGGAAAAGGGAAAGTGATGAAGAAAAAGAAAGCTAAAGAAGTGAAAGCTGTGGTCAAGATGGACATGAGAAAAAGAAAGGAAGGAAAAAGTTTAAAAGTCACGGGGGGGGGGGGGGCGCTTGGAGAAAGAGGGGAAGTCAAGCTTGGGAGGGTAATTGGCTGGGGAGGAGTTGAAGAAAAACAGAGCATCTTAAGACTTTTAGGAGAAAAACCGCTGGAGATTAATCAAATGGTATCTGTCTGCTGTGACAATTTCTGTTTTCTCTTCTTAGTGAAATTCCCGGAATGTGGAAGAAACACACAGGAGGATATGAGGAAGGAGGCCCGGAGCAGAACACTGGGGTGCTGGATGAGGGCTGGGTCAGCAGATAGCAGAAAACGGAGCGAGCCAGGGCGAGGCACAAAAAAGCAGGAAATCCATGTGGAGGCAGTAAAGGCGAGGGAAAGGACAGGTTGTCACCAGCTGCACGGATTACTCTCAACTCCCCCTGTGGCGTTTTCTACAGTAATAGTAGGATTCAGACTTTTATGAGCGTGAGGCAGAGATTGGTCTCGGGGAAAAAGAGATTGAAAGTGGGGGGAAAAAGATTGGGCACACCGCCAAAAGCAGGGAATCCATAATGAAAGACCGGCACTATTTTTCCTTTATCAAAGCCAGGTCAACTTTCTTTTTTTTTGTTTTTTTTTGTTTTTTTTTTTGCAAATACTCAAATATCCTGTATGCATACTTTACCAAAATAAACAGTGAACTTATTTCCAAATGCTTTCCTATTTGAATAAAAAGAAGCACACAAATGATGAAATATAAGACCCTGGTTTTCCTTTGGCAGAACATCTTTAAAAAAGAAAATGACATAAAGCCTGAATGTATTAACTTAAAATCATTCAAACCCATCCTCTGATAGAGAATAGAGTCTTTCTGATATAGATGACGACTGCATGGTTCAGATTTTTGGAAGACAGTAAGAAAAGGCTGGATAAAAACACCTCCTGTGGCATACCCTTTCTAATCAGGTTTCGCGGAAAAGGTCATTTAACGTTATTAGGAGTGAAAGAGCGGGACAGAGAGGCTGAGTCTTTCAGAGGGTAAAGATGCTGGCGGAATAACCAAAGTTAGGCAGACCTAGAATGATGTTCTCTCATCATGAATTGCAAAGAATTAACAGAGAAATCTGAACAAGGAATCTCTGTGAACAGAAAACGTTTTGTTGTGAGGAAAAAAGAACACTGCATGATCGCTGGGACATGAATTGAATTTGCAGAAAATATGCCAGTTGCATCAGAAAATAAGGAGAAAAAAAAGCAGGTTGTCTATTTGTTGAACTTTCTGTGGAACCTCGCTTAGATTATCTGTAGAAAGTAACCAGAGTTGGTCTCCTCCACGTGAATACTTTTACATTATCGCCATGGTGATCTGGTTGCTATCTAAACCAATTAGGGAAGGTATGTCTAATGTCATTCATGTGCTCCAGGAAGAGACCTCCAAAAGTAACAAACTACATTAAGGCCAGCTGGATTCGCCGTTGATTATTTTAATTACAGGAATTATTCATCTAATAGTAACACAAAAACAACTGTTTAAAAGCAAACATCTGCACTGATACATGGATCGTGTCATTCTTATGATAGAATGTCTGCAGTGAGGCGTGAAAGGATTAAAGTCTATATTTTTAAACGCTGTGTTTTCCATCATTGCACTCCTCTCCTCTCTAAGGGCAACACCAGGCTAGAAGTCATGACCGCGCAGAAAAACATTGCAAGAATGCTTAAGGTCTGCTTCATCTTAAACACAACCTGTTTTGATCTCAAATGTAGCTGAGAGCGGTGCTTGGGTTGGCCGGGAGCCCTGAACCAATGCCAGTGGACTTACATAACTTCCATAGTCACACACAGTCCCGCTGCAGAGGCGTGATGGACAGCAACACACCCCTGCATTCGGCCAGCCTTTCCCACCCAAGTGCAACATTATAGCAGGACTCTTTTCTGAGATTAAATGGCTCAATATGTGTCTATTTTCACAAAGTACTCGCTATCAAGCTTTTAGAAAAATATCTGCCACATAGCCATTACCAAGCTAAACCTAAACAATGTTGACACTTTATGAACTGCCTTTTAGAAAATCAATATAAATCCAAATAATAGTGAATTATTCACTGCCAGTCTTTTCTTCCCTCGCTGCCGTGCTCTTATCTGTAATAACTCCCGATCTTTCCTTCATTTCTTTCACATTCCTGCCCTCCGTTCATGTGAACCCACCCAGCCTCTGCCAGAGGCTTACCTTCACACCAGGGGTTGAAGAGCATGACGACGTTCTTGCTGGAGTTATGCGTGGTCGCTGAGTCAGCCTTCAGCGAGCGCGTGGTCACGGTGAGTCCGTACAGGCCGATGACGGCGCTGGCCGGGGAGTTGACCGACAGCCTGATCTTGCTGCCCTCCTGCTTGATGATCTTGGCCTCCCAGCGCTCATCCTCCAGGTGCTCCACCAGCGGGATGATGACGTGGGTCCCTTTGGACACCATCGGCAAAGGACCTGCATGGGACAGGTTACATTTATGGATTAGCCTAAACGTCTAAGAAAGTGAACAATGGTTGACACATTGTCTTAATGGGTTGAATATCTATCAGCGTTTCTGTCACCTTGACAAAACTTATTAATAAAACAATTGGCTGAGTTAAAGAATATGCTAAATCATTTGTGTTAGTCTGGGTGGGTTTTCTCCAACAGACCTCTAACAGTATTTGGAACTCTACCAGTAGTTGTTATTCAGTTCCAGTAGATGCCACCAAACTCTTGGGCAAGAAAAAATAAAAAAGTCTCTATCCCATCTGCACATGATTTATCTGAGTAAACCAAGTTGTGAGGCTGGAAAACCTCCAAAACTGCAAAGCACAGCCTCCTCTTAGAGAGCGGTCTCGGGATAAATGGCTTAATTCCCCTTTTTATGTAACATAATATTGTTCTATCGGATAAAAAGCCAACTAGCCTCTTCATTAGACACTTGGTGCATTACTCTCAGCTCCTTACTTTGTGGCACCGTGTTGACCAGGCAGTTTCTATGGCAAATGTGAAGTTGACCGAGAAACTATTGTTCTCTATCTGACTGGAACCCAAAATTCCCCTCCCTTCCTTTCCCACCTTGGAATATTCATCCAGAGGCTAATCTTTAAAAAACAGTATCTTTTTTTCTGAAGACATTACATGATGGGCGCAGATTTTTGTTGCTAATCGTTTGTTTACTGCAGAATTTTTACAGATTCTTAGGGAAAAAACAGAACCCTGCAAATTTAACTGGGAAAGTTATGGTGGTTATCTCACAGTGGATGACAGAAACTGGCTGTGATTACGTATTACTCCCAAGTGTGTAGTATGAGGCCGGTAAATACCAGAGGGAGGTGTCCAATGTCCTGGGGTCTGGAAACTGTTAGCATGGAGGGCTGCTGGATGGAATCCAAAGCTTGTGCTGCAGCTCTGGCTGAACCTCTGCTGGATATAAACGTGCTGGCTATGCCCAGTATTTTGACCCCATTTCCCACACTTTGTGCAGTCAGAGGTTTGGTCCACTGTTTTTTCACATGCAATTTTACACCTGACAGTAGGGTTACATAGCAGCTCACAGCAGTCTGAACAAAGTGACAGAACAGCAATTCTCAGCTTTGGTTTCTTTTAGCTTTTTCCATCACCAACCCCTGTGCTAGTACCACCCATCCCGGTCCACATACTTGAGCCTTTATCACACAATCTGGAAGGTCTTTCTTCATTTTTCTAACTGTCAAAATGGTGTGTTTTTACTCTAAAGCCAACTAATGTGTCCTCAGCTTTCAATTTAAACTGTTGCTAATCCTCTCATTTTAGCTCTGGAATTATTTCACATTGCCATTTGAGTTAATTTATGTATTCATCCATTCATTACCATATACTTGTCACTTTTCACCATTCATGACAGCTATCTGTTTTTTTCTTTTTTTATCATTTCAAGTCAACATTTCAGAACCACATTTTGTAAATGATGTGGTTTTGAAATGTTGACACATTTTGTAAATGATGTGGTTTTGAAATTTTGACCAATATCTGCAGTGTATCCTTCTTCTTAACATCTTTTTTTTACCTGTTTTCAGTTCCAGGTGCATCTTATCAGTGTCAGCATTGAAAGGCCGGCTGAGCTCCAGCTCGATTTGGAAGGTCTGTCCCCTGCGAATGATCAGCTCATCCCCGTGAAACTGATCAGTGTGATTCTCCACTCTGTTCTGACCAGTCTGGGTGCTCAGGAGGTCCACGGATAGGACAGACAACTTATGTTCTGAGGGAGGAAATTCACATCACTACGATATTTTCAGGAAGATAAGCGGTGTCTAACGAACTGAACTAAATTTATCATCTTGTTTAGAAGCGAGTGACCTGTTACCTTCCATATCCTTTGCTTCTCCGTTCTCAGGCTTGGGCTTCGTGGGTTCCGGAGCGGGGCCCGTGGAAGCGGCCGGGGCCGGGGTCACAGGTTTGGTCATTTCCACCTTATCTGTGACATCGTAGGACGTGCTGTTCTGGCGCTTACAACAACACGGACACATCTTCCTGAGCCATCGACGGCAGCCTCCATCCTCCTGCTTCTTCTCCCCCTCCTTCTGGATGGTGACCTCCACCCTGGTGGGTGGGGCTGCCCCGGGGAAACGCCCGATCTCCGATGTGCCTCTTACCGTTAACCGCTCACCTGGCATTCTGAATCACACAACAGAAATGTGTTACAGCCAAGATAATGTCAGAACTGTGTAGAGGGGGAAAAAGTCAAACCAAGCTAGTTTGCCTCAGACCATTACGGTCATTCAGTCCTCTGGGACACTGTATTCATAACAATGTGATTAACCGAACATCTGTTTGGTTCTCCCTCACTTCCATTCCTCCATCATAAAGCAATCGTGTAATTTTTTCTCGTCACTTTTCCCACAATTACCACATTCCAGACTTGCACTGTGCACAACTGTCCCATGTTCTCAAAGCAATCTGGGATATTAAGCTATCCTGGTAGGTTACACTCCTTGTGTGATCCACGCTGACTTTATACAGGCAGCTGGATTCCATCTGCTGCACTCCAGCTGCTGCAGACTAATGGGATTTCTGTGCTCGTAATCTCCCCTTTGTGCACGTATACAGTGCACGGCTAAGGTGGACAGCAGTGTGCATCATAAGAACATTAATCACAAAGCCACACCCTGGACTCAAATAATGCACCAGAACCACAATGAGACAACTTGTTACATTTTACACATCCCTCTCCTCCCAGCTTATCACATTTCCATCCTCTCTCAACGTTAATATATAAAAGCTACAGAGGGTGGGGTCCCCAAATGAAAAATAAATAAATAAATCCACCTCCCCCAAACAATAAAGTTCTGGGAATGTTTTGTTAGCCCTCAATAAAAACACCCACAAACTGTAATGGGTTGCAGCAAGGTACACGGCCAGGAAAAAAAAAATGGAGCGGTTCGGTTTATGGAGAAATGACACAAACTGTAGCTTAGCATTAAGAAGCTATCTGCAGATATTCACACCCTAAATGTCAGCGGAAACCTTCTCTGTTGTGGTTTGCAAGCTGCCTCTGTCTTAGTTGTCTTTGTCGTACTCCTCAAAACCAATTGAATCTCTTCTGTCAGTCAGCCAAAGCTGTAATGAGAAGTGATGGGTCACATGACGAAGACTACAGTGAGGAAGACTGCAGTGTGGTGTAGCTGCTTCATTATTGACCTTTAGGCTCAAATATTTGAATCGAAGCACTGAGTCAAACAGGCTGAGCGAAACGATTTGGGGAAAGGATAGTGAGAGTGAAGTTATGTGGCAGGGGTCAAAGGGCAGACAACAGCTGAGGAGATGGGGAGGAGCAGCATCAAACCCCTCCAAACTGACATGTAAGTCAGAAAACAAGACGTTAAACTTGTTATTTCTCAACTCTGTGACCTGCTGAGTTCACCTGCCGGACAGAGGGCATTTCACTTTCTTCATTGGTGTCCAGATCCTGCTAACATTCATCAAACATCACTGTAAGGGACAGAAACTGTTAGAGTGTAACTAGCAGGACGGCCTCCGCCCATAACTGCAGTTTGACACTTCATTTCTAGGGTTTAAAAAAAGAGGAACTAATGTGTAACAGTAATTAATAAAGATATGATAAGCCTAATACCTCACTGATAAAGAGAGGCTAAATAAATGAGATGGTAAAACATTTTAATTGTCTTGATTCTTTACCCTTAAATGTGAATGAAACTGAATTAAACAGCGTCTTAAATGGCATCTTCTTGAAGAGTGGAAGATAAAAGTGGTCATAAATCATGAGTCTTAAGCCATACAAATACCTTAACTAATATAGCAGTTCTTACACAGAGGGGAAAAAACTGCCGGCACAATCTTAAAGTAATGATGTGACTGAAATGATTTGTTACATCGCAATAGTAAACCTTCATAGATGACGACTGGAATAAGATCAGGTTTTAAAATGAATGTATTTCTTTGTTTTCTGCGGTGTCTATCAGAGAAGAATCGATACATAAAACTTTTCGTAATGACTGCAACGCCTAAGCGTAAAAGCGCGCACCGCTCCAAATTTGGATTAAACTCTGCACATAATCAGCGGTAAACAAACGCATTTGACAGGCGAGAGGAGAGATTCAGACTCTTACTTTCTGTTTGTGGGTTCTTCCTCAGACCAGCGGTGAAACTTCTGCTTCCTCCTGGGTGGGTGTAAAGTTTTGGAAACTTGTTCGCTCTTGGAGCAGAACGCTTATAAGCGTGTCCTGGAATGTGCGGCGGTGCTTAAAGCTGACACACACCCCTCTGCCTCAGCCCAGCCCACCCCACCTTCTGGGCTGAGGTTTTTTTTCTCGCTCCCCACCAAGAGGTCCCTCTCGAGTCCGGTCAGAGAGATAAGCGCACCCGCACATTGACGCGCACCCGGGTGGAGTAAAAAAGCAAGGGTGTTTTTTTGTTGTTTTTTTCTGTGCAGGAAGGAGAGTGGAAACAGTAAGAGAAGTGGCAGATGCCTCAGACTTTGTATCAGTAATGAACTTAACGCATGAAATAAAGTTGCCAATTAAATATCAGCTCAGAAAACTGTAGTTTTAAAGGCGTGAATAAGAGTTTCTGGAGGAAAATCCCATTTCTACATGTAATTTCTCAAGTTTTAAGTCAACACAAAATGATTTTTAACAAACATTCTCACTTTGACTCTTTCAAAGCAACACCCTGTATCAGCAAACAACAGGCACAAAGCCAAAAGAGGATTTGAAATTTGGCATATTACCGGAAACTGTTCATTATACCACGACTGAGGCCAGAAACACTGTGGTTTGGCAGGGGAGCATGGTGAGGTCACATGGTGAATGTGAAATGAATGTTATCAGCTGAATGAATGAATGGCTCCTGTAGTAAATTAGAAAGATTAGGGGGAAAGCAACTGTCAGAAGGCTCTGCAGACTGTAAAATAATCATTCAAATAAGTGTTTAGCTGCAACATCTGGACCACCATTGCAGTCTACATTGATTCAGAGTGCAGAACACTACAATTTGACAGTGAAAAATGTAAAGGATCTAAACTTTCCAGGTAGATAATCTGATGCCAACCATGGTTGGGCGGATTTGGTATGTATGAAAATGCATATTGAGTTAGATGTCATTAGATAAATGGTAAGGATGAGGGGTTAAATAAACACAGACTTTCTACTTTACAGACTTTCTACTTTGAAACAAGAATAAAAAATGTGTTTTAGAAACTTTAGAAACTTTTAGAAAGTGACTTAGACATCTTTCATTTTGTATGCCTTTTCTTAAATAAAACTAAATGCTTGGAACTGATAGCAGTGACCATTCACATTTTGAAAAAGAGTTGTTGAAGCTTGGACTAATATCAGCATGAGAAATTGTGAAGCTGACATTTTGAGCGTCTGTGGTCACGAAGGTGACTTGGGTTGGGTGAGTATCTGGTAGAACAGACGGGATGAGGCTCTGGCTCTCACACTTCTTGTGGAAACCAAACAGCCGGCATTCGGCCAAGGAAAACTTCCTTTGTATGGAAAGCATATCAGGAAAAACGGATTTAATCTTTTTTTTTTTAAACTCATTATACGTTGAAATAGTTGATATGAACGTTAACTTTTCTCTACAAACGTGAATAGCAGTAGAGCGTTGCACGGCTCCTTTCGGATAAAGAATGCCTGTGGGAATATTTTTGGTATGTGCTGTACTGACACATCTCTGTTAAATAATAACCAAGTTCCTCTGACCTTTTTTTTGTTTGTCGGATCAAAAAGACCCAGCAAGCCAACACCACACAAGCACGATATGTGTGCTACATGAAATTGAGTGGGGGAAAAAAAAATCTGTGTGTCCATATGCTAAATAAATTGAATAGAGAATGTGAAGAAGGGTTATGGAAAGGCAGGAGGGCCATCTCCATCTTGAAAGGAACGCTCTCCCGTCGCCTCTGCCTGTTACTTTTTGTTGGCTGTTTTTTTATCTGACAAAGCAAAAAATAAAAAGGAATTGAAAAACTAGAAGAGCTATGCCATAGGTCATAAAAGTTGCTGTATTATATATATGTTTTTTGTTTTTCTTTCTTTCAAACTCATGAGATGTGTGTGTGTTACAGTGGATATATAACTATATATAGATAAAACCTATTATACTGAAATATACTACACTTACATTGTACATTAAAAAAATTCTCTATTTGGCACAAAGAGTAAAGGTTGCCCCAATCTTTGCCACTGCTTAGAAATTAACATTCTGCTTGTTTTTTAATCTACAAAACGTTGACACAAATGTTATGGATCAAAACTAACTGGTAGGCCAACTGGGAATTTGTTAGCAAGTCCTAAATGAACCAATCATAGCACAGAAAAAGAGTTTGCATCTCTTTAGTTTACAGGCACATTTTATTTTCTTTCACCAAAATAGATTTGCTTAAGATCAACACCAAAGTCTCCACCTCCATGTTTTTTTCTGTGGAAAAGCTTACTCGTCTACTTTACCAGGAGTGGCACCTTTCATGCGTTTGCGCCGCTCCTCTGATTCACTAAACGGTTGCCAGTCACATCAATGACTGGGGGTGATTACACCGGCGTGATGTAATGTGTCTGTGTGATTTCTTAAGTTTCCTCAAATGCAGTATTCATTTAGTGTGCATGAGCTGATTCATGTGACGCTGCCGTTACTCTGGAGATGAACACAAACAGACAAACCGAGAGGGTGTGATTTATCTGCCCTAACCCTAACCCTAACCCTAACCCTAACCCGAGAACTTACCGTCAAACAAAAAGGAACGTTTTTTTCTATTTTGTATATTTTCCCCTGCTGAATAAAGTCATTTTCACAGGGATCTGCCTGTATTGATTCTTTACAATGCTCTCCTTTAATAATTTCCTAGCTTCCTATCTAAAGCACATCTTCTTGTTGTTTTTGGGGGGTAGGCTTTCTAAATTGAGAGCCCAGGGTCACGCACTATAATAAAGACCCTAAAGGCCAATTTGTCATTATTTACATGGGGCCTTGTGAGCAAACATTATCTGTAGGAAGCATAGTGATTTTTTTTTTTATCAATGGCAACTGTAACAAGATTAATAGGGTTGTTGCTTGGAGCTGCTGGAAATACAATGTATGGCATTGACCAAATACTGTACAACCATGATGATATTTAAGCCTTTATGCCATTGCATTTCATGAGGACCACGCTTCCAAAAAAGGGAAATGTGAATCAATGCAGAATATCATCATTTACAAATCTCCAAAGCAAGTATCAACTTCAAAATAGAACATAGAAAGCATTCTCAAACATTAAAAGACATTTACATTTCAAAAGGTTTGGGACTCGGGCCCTGTTTTCTAATGTGAACCCAACCCCCTTTTCTTTTTAACAGCAGTCTGTAAATGTCTAAAAACTAAAGAAACCAGTTGATGAACCTTTGGTAAGGGAGTAGAGGAATGTGTTCCAATTCTTGCCTCAATCAAGATGTGTAAAAGTTCCAAGTCTTTTATCCTTTTTGTGCCTGATGGCAAATGTTTTAGGCAGAAACATCTAAGCCTCCGACTCTTCTACTACAAAGTCATGCAGGTATTATATTTTCTTCCTAAAATATGTGCATTTTTGTTTGTTTGGTAGTATATTTTAAGCACCTGGATGTACCATCTTTCAACATGGATTGGCCTTTCAAGCTGTTTAATTTGCCAAGTTCAAATTCAAGCAAGTTATGCAGAAACTTAGTCCACTAAAAAGCTGGATGTGTCGTGCATCATATCCAAATAGAAATTCCTGTTTCAATTGGTCTGATAAGTCCATTTTTATTGGCCTTAGTCCATCTGAAATGAACTTTTGCTCTCACCAGACAGCAGTGCTTCTGGGTGGTGTTGAAATTGCACCTCTTCTTTGGTGGGTGGCTCTGAACTATGGTCACACTGATTTTAGGAAGTGTTCCTGAGCAAACGTAGGGGATTTCCGTGACAAAATTGCGTTTGCCAAAAATCACCGGCATTCAGAACTGATTTGTAGCTTTGCCTTTTGTGTGCAGGAGAAGCCTTTTGATTATGTTATTTGGTGCAGATGGCTGAAAATCCTCTTCTTATACCCCGTACTGTAGCTGACTTGTTACAGATGTTACAGCTGCTGTCTTTTTGTAGTACTTACTGTTCCAGCATTTTATTGCCCATCGCCAATTTATTTGAATTGCTACGACTATCAAATTCAAGTGATGCTTTTAACAAAAAAGTAGATGGTAAAATCCACTTTGTGCTGTAGACCATCTATGCCACTGCCTCCCTAACAAAAATATTGTTGTTTTAAACAGACTAAATCGTACCAAAGGCTTCTTAATCAGCCATTTGGGCACATCTTCTTTACTTTTGTCTCGCAAATCCTGGTTGGAAGAAGATTAGATGTGGAGATATGACACAAGTGAAAGAGTTGTATTCATTTCAGAAAAACAATATATATATTTTTTTACATGTTTGTCACCTCAGTTATTTTCTAATTATGACAGAATGTAAAATCCAAGGCTGGGACTAAATGGTGGGGAAGTTCCTTACTATCAAACGTAGTGTTTTGAGGAAATAGTAATTTGCTGAGTAAAGTCTTCACACGTTTCATCAATGGTCATCTGTCCTGGAATTGTGCAAATTACTGTCATGTGCTTCAAACTATTACTTGAGTTTGGTTCATTAAAGTTCTGTTTGGATGTCTGAGTAAAGGTAAGGATGAGTTATAGCCAGTAAGTTGATCGAGATGTGATGCTGGCTTTACAAAAAGTAATAAAATTACTTCTTTATCTTTGAATAAGCATAAGATAAAGTGCACTGTTATGTCTATAAGAGTTTAGTGAATATTATAAGTGCTGCACTATATTAACTGCACGGAGATCATTAAATCATGTTTATTCCCCTTAATAACCCAAACTATAAGCATTGAAGCATTGAAGCATTGAAAGAAATAGTTTTATACAACAGTTTGAGACTTCAAATAAATCACATCTTCATCAGAAATTTCGACAACTCTGGTTGCTTCACCTCTGATTAATTCAACTTCACGCCCAGTCCCACGGTAAGCAGATGTTTATCGATTTTCAGAGAAACTGCATTGATGTCATCTTTCCGTGTGTGACTGGTTTTTGATTTTTTTTTTCTTGTGCAGGTCCCAACAAAGAACCCTAGATTTCGAATACTTAATAGTGTACACCTGGCTGTTTGTTTCATGTTAGCTGTAACAAAAAATACATGGAGTTGTGTGTGAGATCTCCACTTCAATGAAATGCCTCATAGACACTTCTCTCATCAAAACCAAATTATAGAAATTGCATTAAACTTTCCATTGAATGAAGAACCAAAGATGACATAAACTGCTAGACTTATGTGTCTGTTTAAAAAGCGAAATCCTCTAAAGACTCAATATATTACACGTTCCTTTTGCAATAAATAAAGAAACAGACAAAAACTACCAATTAAACAAAGCCACTTCAAAATTCACACAAGGTATATGCATTACTGGAATAATTTACTCATTTATTTGTCTTCACTGAGTCAAAAACCTCGTCACTGAGATCCACACCCCGGTTAGCGCAATAAGATAAACCGTTAGTCACTCATGATTCATTTTACCAGGGAGGTTATACTGCTGCCCCCTGCTGGTAATAGAAGAGAAGGACAAAGTGTGGCAAAAAAAAAACTATCTATCTATCTATCTATCTATCTATCTATCTATCTATCTATCTA